AAAGTTGTTTTTTCCGGAAAAACTCATATGATAAAAACAAACGCTACTTTTTGCTTATTTCTGCTTTAATCTAATAGAAAATATAATCTAACAATTTTGTTGGATATTTATTACTATCATTTTATAACCCTCACATTTTTTTAAATATTATCTTATCTAATTAACATTTTTTAATTTAATAAGTTTTAAATTGATTATCTGTTAATCTCAAAGGTACAAAAAGAATTATTTTGCTAATAAAAAAAATCATTACAGAAGTCAGCATCCTGCCTAATTTTATCTTCTTTTTTTAAATACTCTTTCTTTAGGGTATGGGGCTTAATTTGGATATTTAATTGATTTTTGATAGGTTTTATGTATAATTGTAATTAAAAAATTAGAAATAAAATGTTGGTGGATATAATTAGAAAAAAATATTTCTCCGGTTTTTTCATTTTTATTTTACTCAACATACGAGTAATTTTATTGAATGTCATAAATGATTTTATACATATTAAAATAAATTGCAAATTACTTAATAATCGGAAATAGCAACTTTTTTTTAATTACATAAAATAAAATTAAAGTAGGTTATATAAAAAAATTAGGTTATTAAAACGACACAATTTTTCTAGATATAAGTTATTTAATTAAAATTATATTAAAATTTCTTGCTTTTTAAATAGACATAGAATTTTAAATAATTTTTTTTTAGTATTTATACTAATATATCATTTTGATTAAGAAAATATTTAATGACACATCCCACCATGACATATACTGTTTCATTTATCATATAATCCATAATTATCATAGGAAAAACACCAACAAATATTTATAATTAATTTATGAGCCAATTCAATGTCATTATACCTCTAATAAAAAGCAAATTTATAGAAATTGTTTTTAATCTAGTCATGAAAGATAAAATTTTCATCTGGGGTAGAAACTAGAGTTGTTAAAAGATACTTAAATATAATGTTAACATATACATTGCTAATATATATCAAGATACAGATACAATTTACCCATGATATTTTTATTATTAACATGTGTGCATAATGTCAAAAATATATCGTTAAAAACTCAAATTGCGAAGAGATCCAAGCATTTTTATACATTGATATTTTATTCATGTAAAATATTATTGTTAATTTTTATTAATAAAATATTCTTGAATTTTCATCATTAAGATATCTCAGTTTATTCGTAATCACATTTTTATCCATACTAAAAAGTATTTTAACTGATGCGGTGGAAGATAGTGTTATACTTTATGAATTTCATCTTTAAAGTAGGATAATCTTTAAATAAATTAAAATCATAAGCACGATATTAATTTTTAAAATAATCGGACAATTGTTACATATTCTTTTAATTTGAATCTTCGGCAAATTCTTATTTATTTTCACCAAATGACATATTTAGCTTATCAGTAAATTCTTTTCTGATAAAGGATATACCAGAAAGAATCTCTATATCAATTTTGTTAACATTTAATCAAGTTATATTACCTTCATTTTTAAGGATATTCATTAGCCGCCTATATTACATTTTCCAGGGAAGCAGGGTCATGCTAAGATTATAGTGGGCCCTGGGCAAAAAGGTGCAAATGAATTTGCGGTCCTTTATAAACTTCAATTTTCCCCTAACCTTTATTTATATTTTCAAATTGATTAGCGTATAAGCATCTTAATATACGATAGCTAATATTTAGGCGAATGATAGTCACTACCAAGTCAACTAAACTACGGCAATTTTCTAAATACCAACCAAATTTGCTAGATAACGACCAAAATTTATTAAAATGTAATAAGTCCCTTATTATTTAACATATGGTCAAGTCCGGCTTCCTATATATCATCCCTCCAAGGACGGAACCACTAAGTTAGATTAAGAAAAAAACATGATTATTGCTGAGTTTCGAACCTATACATAACCATAGGATTGGTAAGCGACGCTCTTGCCGAATAGGCCACAAGAGTCTTTCCAACAATCACGATTTTTCAAATATATATTATAATTATAAATAAATTTGGTAGTGTCTATCTAAATGAAAAATAAACAAAATACATATTTTATAGGTATTACCTTAAGGTAATAACTAAGAGATCTGCAAAAATAGGCCTGGCCCGTACCTGGTCTGGCCCAAACGGGCTTCAGGCCGGGTTCGAGCCTAATTTTTTAAAAAAAACGGGCTCGGGCTGGGTTGATCCTAATATTTTTTATGAAAATTCGGGCCGGGCCTTAGAATTTTTTTTAAATATATCTATTTTATGTTGAATTTTTTATGTAAAATAAAAATATTTGATTTAATTTATAGGAACTAGACGCTATATAACATATATTTTTAATTATTTATAAAAATTAATTTCTATATTTATAATAAATTAGGGCAGGGCTGGTAAATTTTTTCAAAAATAATTTCGGGTCGGGCCGGCAAAATTATTTTAAAAAATCTCGGGTTCGGGCCGGGGCAAAACTTTTTTAAAAAAATTTCGGACCGGGCCGGGCTTGAAAAATTAGGCCCGATGCAGATCACTAATGACTATCATTAACCTAATATTTAAGCATATATTATATAGTAAAATACAAATAATTTATTGAATAAGGTAACTATAACCCCCTTGTTCCTCATTGGCATGGGCTTGCAGGGAGTTATAAATAGATTTGAATTTAATATTACAAGTGTTGATAAATTTTTTAATATAAATTTAGTTACTGAATCGAGCGACCTTAAATATTTTACATAATATTTGAATTATAAAAATTCAAGTCATTGCCTATTATGAATTAGAATCTGCAAAGTTAGACCCGGCCCGATCGGGCTTGGGCCGGGCCTAATTCAATTTAAAACAATCGGGTTCGGGCCGGGCCTAATATTTTAAAAAAAATTCGGGCCGGGTCGGGTTGGACCTTGAGATTTTTTTTAAATATATCTAAATTTATCAATTTTATATTGAATTTTTTATGTAAAATAAAAATATTTGATTTTATTTATTGAAACTAAACGACATATAACATATATCTTTTATTTTAAATAATTATAAAGATTAATTTCTATATTTAAATAAATTAGGGCTGGGCTGGGTCTGTAAATTTTTTTAAAAAAAATTTCGGGTTCGGGCCGGCAAAACCTTTTAAAAAAATTTCAGGTTCGGACCGGAGGCAAAACTTTTCTAAAAAAATTTCGGGCCGGGCCGGGCTTGAAAAATTAGGCCCGATGCAGATCACTATTATGAATATCCTTAAAGGATTGAATAACTTGCATGCTTCTTTTAATAATATTTATGCTCTGTATATGGTAATATTTTTGATTTGCAAGGCATGAATCATTTGAAATGACTTGCCCAGAAATATTTCTGCCAATTCAAGTCTGGTATAAGCATAAAGCTTGAATGGTCATTTAAGTTTAATAGCACGGGGTAGAGATCTGCAAAAATATGCCTATCTTTAAAAAAAGAAATTAGGTTCGGGCTAATATTTTTTAAAAAAATTCGGACCGGGTCGGGCTTTGGAAATTTTTTTAATATATCTAAATTTATCAATTTTATGTTGAATTTTCAATGTAAATAAAAATATTTGATTTTATTTATAGAAACTAGCCTATAACATATATCTTTTATTTTGAGTAATTATAAAAATTAATTTCTATAATTTAAATAAATTTGGCTGGACTGGTAAATTTTTTTAAAAAAAAATTCGGGTTCGGGCCGGCAAAACTTTTTAAAAAATATTTCGGGTTCGGGCCAGGCTTGAAAAATTAGGCACGATTAGATCACTAACACGGGGTACTTATTGCTTAAGCGTGTAATATCAATTGATTTCCAGTCATTATATTTATTTTATCTATAATAAGATTTATCTTTTTTGTTGTAAAATCGAAAATAAAGGTATTTGAAAGGCTGCAGCGATTCTTTCCTTCGTAATTTCAATTAAAATGCTTTACTGGAAATTGACGCCCTAAATTTAATATATAAAATGAATGCAGATTAATTTAAAGCTCGTCTAGTTACATATTGTAAAAAAATAACGGTAACTAGGTACTTATGAAAAAAATTAAATTTCTAATTTATTATGTTTAATATGATTTTCCAAATTAAAATGACTGTTTATTAAAAATAATGACCTACTTACATAAGGTTTACTGTAGAAACTTTGAAAAAAGTTTATTGTTAAAGTTAAATTAAAAATTATTAAGCTCAAATTTTTATGAATAATAAATATTATATTGTGGTATTTATATATTTTTTCGGAACAAACACTATATTATTTTATTTTTTTTCAACGCAAATTTATGTGGTAATTTTTTTCCGGGTAATTTCTTTGCTTAAATCGTGTTTTCTTAAATTTATTTTGATTAAAATTTGTAAAATTTTTATATAATGATGAGTTATATTATAGAACATTAAAAAATAAACCTGCATTTGAAATTTAACTAACTGTAAATAATAATTTTTCAAAAGTAACATTTAACAACACGAGTTGAATTGTAAACTTCTAATTAGTATTTATTCATTGACACTAAACTCTGCCTCATCGCTTTAAGCCATAAGTGGTAGATGATTCAGATTAAAACCTTCAACAATTTTTTTTTAATTAGACGAGAGTGCTCAGCTTCTCGCTAAATCTGATAGGGCTAAAAACCATAAATGACAATTCATAAACTTGTATATTAAAAGATATAATCTTATAATTATGTTGCATTGAAAAGCTAATTGCTCTAAAAGTTTCAGGTTGCCCAGCCCGGTTCGTAACATAATTATATTTTATGAAAGATAAAAAATTTGCATTATTTATAAAAAAAATAAGTTGCCCGGATTAAAACTATTTCTTAGCCTGGATCGCAAGCTTAGGGTGGTGCAGAATCTCTAGTAGAAACATCAAAATTCGAAAAAAAGAATATTTATTGCGATTTTAAATGTTATAATTTAAAGCATGATTGACATTTTTATACTATAATACAATTCTACTATGCAATACATGTATAAAAAATATAAAATACTGTTTTTCTAAAAAAAAGCCTATAGTACAAACAATTCACACTATATTATTACAAATGTTAATATATTAAATTTATAAAAGTATTCATTATAAAGTATATATGCACCTAATTAAAACTTATATAGCTTTAAATTTTTTTTATAGACAATTTAATATTTGTTGAATCCATTCTTTGGCTGAATATTCATCAGATGCCAAAAATGTGTACAATCTTTTCGTAGTCTTGAGCTAAAATCATAAATATTATTTTAGTGATTAAATCTATAAATTAAATAAACGCGCCTAAACAGGGATACAAATCGAAATATCGGCTCGGTTCCCGTATAAATAATGATTCGGGAATTTATCATATAGATTGTAACAAATTAACAATATTTTTTAACATAAAATAAAGAATTATTTTTAATATTTTCCTAAAAACTACTGAGCCTTGAGCCGTATAATTAAAATATTTTCAAGATTTACTTTTGTCAAATTATAAGGAGAATTTTTATAGTTTATGTCAAAAAGCATATACAAAGAATGTCGATTGATATTCAATAATCAAAAAAATTACAGTTCAAACTAATTTTTCGAACTTTTCAGAGGTACAAATGATTATATTTTTAAAGTTCAAGGTTCGGTAAGTAAAAACGGTTTATCGTATAGATACACTTAAGCTATAGTATAGAAAATTAAGATTTTTTTTTAATCTTCAGAGAAACAATAAACTCCTTGTATCAAATTTTACTAAACAAAAAAAAAGAGAAACAAAATTTTAAATATTTTAAATTATGGAATTTAATAAAACATTACAACATTGAAAAGAACGCATAATTTAATTTTTTACGTCAAAATAGGATTTTGCATTCCCAACACAATTATCATCCATAACCCTATGAGTATTTATACATTGAGAATAATTGGAAGGAGACACCGAGACAATTTCTTTTAATGAAATGATACCCTTGCAGCACCTGTCTTGATAACTATCGTAATATCTCAACTTTAATTTAATTTAAATAAATATAGTATATAAAGTAAAATAGTGATCTCAAACGTGCCTAAAATATTCCCCTAAAATGCCGAAATGAAAACAGCCTAAGATGCAAAGAGGGTTAAATAGAGGTTATATAGTAGTTGAAACAAAAGGCAGTAGATTGTATTAATTATAAACCTGATAAGCAACAGCGTCTAAAACAAACCAGCGTTGTTTCCAACCTTTGACTAATGAACCACATTTCTTGTATAAATACCCCTGGTAAGTGGTGAAGGATATAGTCGCTTGACTTACATGACCTGTATCATCTGTCGCATTAAAATCCTCCGATAATTTATTATTGTAATTATTAAAATTTTTAAAGGTCGATAAATGAGGATTGTTATTGTGTGACTCGTTGCACGTAATTCCAGCCCTGGTGCTAAGAGTGCTTATACCTTTATATATAATTCATTTTAATCTTGAGATGATATCCGTCCATCAATAATAAAAAAAATCATAAATATTTTTAAAAATACTAATTTACCAGAGGTGTTTATGGAGGATGTATCGCTTTTATCCACTAAACTCCCCGTGTAAGGGGATTTTGTGTGAATACTCAAGAATATATCATCAGTATCTTCTTCTATTTTGTGGTCTTCTAGGTGCTTTAAAATGTCCTTCAAATCGACAAATTTTGTTTCCGGTTTATCGCCATCCGATTTTTCATAAGATGTATTATTTTCAAAGGACTCTGAAAGGTGTGAATCAGCGTGAGCTATGGATTAATATTATTAATTATTTTTAAATTCTAAAATAAAATAATTGCTAAAATAAATTATTGAAGTTTTTTCAAAGTGTCTCAAATTTAGAGTTACCAAAAAAAAGATGGTAATAAAAAAAATCTCGTTTTGTATCTTTCCACGGAGTTTAAAGCCTCTCGAAGAATCCTGAGTTGGTGTACAACATTTAAAAAATTATGTTGCTTTCTTTTTTAATATAACATTTGATTAATATAGGTTTATAATTATAATTTCTAAATGATGAAAGGGGGGGGGTACAATTTTTTTATTTATTAATATTTGTGATTTGGACATAATCAATTTATATTTCATTTTAATTTATAAATTATGGTACGAATATTGTGAAATAAAACAAATTTTTAACAAATATTTTTTTACACTCGATCAGAGACCTTTATGGACCAGACCGGCCTGCAGCTTATGGGCAGTGTATGGGTAGAGCCCTGCGCGGGCTGTATGAAGTTTGATCCGACCCGAGCCTTAGGCGTGGTTAGGACATAGACTTTTTTTAGGCCTAAAAATTCTTCATTTAAATTTAGTTTATTTAAAACAGTTGATAACTTAAAAATTATTGCAATTTCTCTCTTTTAATAATGATAAATTGCAGAACTGCAAACAAAATGATTGTCTAAATACACTGAAATATTGCTTATTTTCATTTAATACAATAAACTAAATTTTTGGATACGGCCTGGGCAAGATTTTTGAAACTTATTATGTGCTTAGAAATTTTTTTAATACTAATGAACCGGGTTTAAGCCCATAAATTTTTTTACTAGTGGGCCTGGTCAAAAAATCTAGGCCCATAAAGGTTTATGACTTAAATATCTAAAACTAAATAAATTCAATTTAAACATCAATTTAATCTATGAATATGATGAAGTTCGTGCTAGAGGAGAGAATTTAATAGCGTCCAGGAATTTTCAAAAGAAAATGTAAAACAGCAATATATGTATATTTCCAAATTTCAATTCATGTTTTCTCTCTTCTGCATACCCATTAGTGGATGATGTAGACATTTTAATATCTGATCGAATCATTCTTTTTTTAAAAATAGGTTTAGCGGTTATTTGTTCTAAATTTACCGATCCAATATAATAGGGGTAAAAAATATATGGGAATTCTTTTTAAACTCTTAAATTTTATTTCATTAATTATTTTTCAATAAACGTGAAATCGATAGCACTTTATACGAATTTTACCTAAAAGGGACTCATTTTTTTTAAAGAAGTTGAGCTTAAAAGGGTTACTATGATTATCCACTTCACTAGAGTAAGGTGGCAAGATTTTCATCAAGCTTGATGCCGACATCTGATTAATGTATATAGATTTTACCTCATTCCACATATTTCCTATCAAGGTAATAGCTTTTACATCGAAAATTTAATATATCCGCCAAGATAAAATAATTACCACCCTGCAGAAATCCTATTTTTAAAAAATTAAATCATATGCTTATCAAATTTATTATTCGCAAGATGTTAGCCTTGATAATGAGGATGGAATAAGTAAGTAGCATTGGGGGTAATTGTAATGGGGTTTATTTCAAAATATTTTTATTTTTGGAATATAAGCGGGGTCCCTATTAAAATTAGGAGTATTCGGCTGGACAATATTTTTTAAAAGGCAGAGCTTGGTAAAGTTATTATTTATTTAAAATTTGTTCAATATATATTTATATATATTTTATTTAAATTTATTGTATTAAAGATATGAAAACTTCTTTTATAAATTAAATTTTTACATGCCTGGAGTAATCATATATTATTTATAGTCATTTATAAATACTATTGCAAATGAACACAAAAGCATTTTTCGCCAAATATTGATAATATTAACCTATAATCTTATTTTTATATGGATTTTTTAGATATAATTAATAACATAATGTTTGTTCTTATTTGAATTTCCAATCTTATCCATTATCATATGTAAATAAAGTATATAATTGGGGTTGTTTTGGTATTATGATATATTTGCCGTGGGCTTAAATATTTTTTTTATAAAACTCTTTCTAGGCTATATTTTCCAATTGCGCGTGATGCCTGAATTTTTTTTAATCATGGGGAGGGGGGGTATAAATTTTATTTTTCTAAGGGCCTGGTATAAAATTTTATATTAATGGACTAGATGAGTAATTTTCTTAGACTTAAGGTTGGTTTAATGCTTAATTTTATATTTTCGAGCCTTAAAAAATCTATTTTAAATGTTTTTTGTGCATTAAAATATAGTTCTTATTCCTCTATTAATATTCAAGATAGGGCATGTAAAAATTACTCTTCCGTAAATAAAATGATCGAAATGTTAAAAGCCTATAACAATAAAACGAAGTTATCCGATATAAAGTACACGTAGTAAATTACATGGATATATAAAATAGACTTTTTAATTTTACTGTTGTTAATATTGCCTTCTAAAGTTCTATCTTGCATAGATTTGGTTATTGCAGATAAAGAAGAACTATCGGAAACGCGTGGACAATGAGTTTTAATGAGTAGAATTGAATTTTTACATTTTTCGTGACATTTGTAAGCGCAATATTTGCATTGAAAACCTGCGAAATTGAAAATATTTTTTAAAAAAAATAATAATAAAATGTAAGTGGAAATCTCTTATAAGTATATTTAAATCTATTTCAGAAATCCATAGATAATTTAAAACCCGGTGGATTAAAAAATATTTTAAGGCGCGACCCGGATTTTTTTTAAGATTAATGATTGCCCCGGATTTTTACAATGTTAAATAAATTTGTATATTGTTCTACCCAGGTTTTGTAAAAAAAAAAATTATTTTTAGGTAAAGCATGGGCCGAATTTTAAAAATTATACCATTTTACGGCCCGCTCCAAGCTTGCTGATGTCTCTAAGGAAAATATTAAGTTGTCAATTTTATAAACATATATAAAAAATGTACCTGTCTTAATAACTCCCCACAAAAGTTCTGAGCAAGAATCGCAATATGTAGGTGTATTAAATTTGCACTTAACAAATACGTGTGTTTGAATGTATAGTGAACTTTCTTCCTCGCAAAAATTATGTTGAGTGTAGGCTATGAAAGGTTGAATGAAGCCACCTAACGGGTACTTAAGGTCCTGATAAAGTATACCTTGTGTCAGAGCTCTGATGAGATCCCAACCAGTTTTTGAGGAAGTACTTTTAGCAGCATAACCATTAGTATCAATGGATAAGGAGTCGACGAAACAGGTTAAATCCTTATCAAAATAATTGAAGGGACTGGTAAAATTGATGAGATCGTTCGATCTATTTGAAAGTTGACATCGCAGTTGGTTGCAAGTGGTCTCTAAACGACTTATTTTCTATAAATGGGAGGGGGGGGGGTTAATAAATATAATTCTGATATAATTTCATTCGAGTAAGCAACAGAGACCTTCATGGGCCAGGCTGGCCCGCGGTCTATATTATATTTTTTAGTGGGATGGAATTTTTAAAATTTTTTTTAAAAGAGCTTGGGCCTAAAATTATTAAATTTAGATTGTATAAAACAGTTGCTAATTTAAACAAATATTTTTCTTCTAATAATAATAAATTTCAGTATTGTAAACAAAATGATTGCCTAAATATATTTAAATATTGTTTATTTTCATTAATATAAAAAAGATTAAATTTTTAGATATGAGTTTGGGCCGGGTTTGGGAATTTTTTTAGAAACTTATCATGGGCTTGGGAATTTTTCTTAACATTAGATATGGGCCGGGCTTGGGTCTAGAAAAATTTTTTACTGCGGGCCTAGGCCGGGCTTTGTCAAAAAATTAAGGCCCATGAAGGCCTCTGTTTGTAATGAGAGTGCATGCTATAATTAACCTTAAAAAAATTATTAAATACCTTCGGCTATAAGTTAGTAATAACAGAAGGTTTGCATAATTTATTTTCAAATATTTCAGGAAATAATTAAGCTAGGGTAGTTATTCAAAATTTATTATATACAGCTAAACCTGTAGAATTTGGGCACAAGCGGGACCAAGATTTTGTCTAATTTAGACAGTTGCCGAATTTATCAAGACTTTTTATTTTTTTAAAAAAACATCTTGACATCTGTTACATTCTTAGTTTAGTAAAAAGTGAGATTATGTTCAACCATTAAAAAATAATTTTTTATTAAGTACAATATTTTTATATGCGGTTGTTTGGATTTATCAATATTGTCAATTGGTAAAAGCAGTGTCATATTATTACGGTTTAAAGTAATTTTATTAAGATTTAGCAAAAATTATATTACAGAAATTAAAAAGTTGTTTTAAATTGGTCAGTGTTTAATAATATGTTAGTTATTTCTAGTCTCAAATCAATTTTATTAGGAGGGGAGAAAATATAGTTCTAAACTTATTTATACATATTGCATTTGGGTTAAAAATGTGAGTTAGTTGTTAATAATATAGATCAAATAGCTGTACTTTAATTTGTATTGAATTAAAAGGTTTTCCAACTCCTTATGTGCCTAAAAGTTAGAAATTATTGAGTATACTTTAGTTTATAGTTTAGTTATAATTTAAGTTATTTGGAGAGTTAAAAAAAACCTTAGATGAATATGTGCTCATTTATATCTATTACCTTTCTATATAAGTTCATAAACTGTGCGAATGTATAATCTTTATAATTTCAAAATGCTTACTAGAGTCAAATAAACAAATGTTATTGAATTAAAGGATTGGTTTAAGTGTGTAAACCATAGATAACAAAAAATCAATTTATAGATAATATAAAATTAAATATAATAAATGTAATTTGAAATGTATATGTGTAAAGTAAATTTATCTAATAAACCTTAAACTTAATAGTCTATATTCATATAAGCTTATAAGAGAAAATTTTTTTTGGCCAGGTAACCCATACCATAGTTCCATTTAGACACAAGGTTATTAGAAAAAATTAAACTTGGGAGATCATCTGAAATGGATAACAATAAAAACCTTTGTAGCTATAGTAGTACACCAAGTAATGCTAATATGTAGAGATCCATTTCCATTTAAAATCCATATTACATCTGAAGTCCTGAGGTAGTTTAAACTTGTGAAACCATATATTTATTTGGTTCTTTGAGAATTAGGCATGATCCTTAATGATAACAACCACCGAATAATTTCATTTTAAAAACTGTGTTTGTGCTACAAAATTTAAAATTGGCCCTCTGACTATCTTAATACCCCTAACATCCGAAGCATCAACACCAAAACCATACAAATAAATTCTTTGGGAGTGTATAAAAATTAAGAGCATTCTAATAGTTTTTCCAGTTCTAGGTGCTCCATAAAATAAAAGATGAGGTAACTTATTCTCTTTAATAAATTTATGAATAGTTTCAACGATATCTTTATGTGCAATCACTTCATCGAAATTTTTAGGTCGATATTTCTCAATCCAGGGTTGTCAAATACGTGTATTGAAAAAGAAAAGTTATTTATAAATTTAAAAATAAACAGTTAATTTGTTAAGAAAATTGAAATGTTTAAATTGTAAAGGTAATTGGAAGGTTCAAATTGTAATCAAATTAAATGACAATTATATGAAATTATCAATGATATGTAAATTTTAGTAGTATACAAGTGAGATCGAAGATGTAATAATTGCAAGAAAAAGAAAAGAGAAAGATACATAATTTTTAATTTTTATTTTGATTTTATATCTTTACGTTTTAGTTAGAATAATTTTGATTAATATATATTTTAATAAATTAATTTATCATTTTCAATTTTGATCATAATGATCTCTAATGTTTTAAACAAGGGCAAATTATAGTATTGTTTACTTTACAAAATGCATAGGTGAATAAAAATTATATCTTTTCCGAACATAAAATTAAATAGATTAATAAAATCTGTCAATCTATTTCACAATCTCCAAATTTTTTTGAATCGTAAGAATAATATGAAAAATCAGTAAAAATAAGTTAATTATTAAAAACAAAAAATTATATAATAAAATATAAGTCATTGCTCTAGTCTAATTATTTTCCGAAATATTAAAAAGTAAATGATGTGATTTTTTTAGGAACCTTAATCTCCGGAAGTAAAAAATATTTTCTTTCATACTAATAGATTAGATACTATCATACAAAATTTTTAAAAAACTCCTAAGATATCAGGTTAAAAATCAACTTTTTTAGTTGATTTAAAATGAACTTCAAAATTATACATCTAAAGAAATTATATAAATCTAATATTTAATCACGTTTATCAAATATGAAATTTCAAATATCAGTAATTTATAGTTAGGAGGACTGATATAAAAAAATAATAGACAATTAAAAATTTCAGCATTTAGCATTTTTTTTAAAAAAAAGAAGTTCTCAAATGGATAACAATATTTTATATCGGATAGATTCTTTTGAATACTAATTTAAAGGTCGCTTCAATGCTAATACGCTATGATGTTAAGATATTGAAGAGACCCAAATAAATAAAAAAAAGATTATAACCCTTAATAAATAAGTGAATATGGTCGGCAGATAATCTTCAGAGGTTTGGTATAGAGAATTGAGAACAAAACTTTGATAAGGGTCTTTATTAGGGTCATCTTTAATAGTATCGTATTCGTAATCGTTGAGTTCCTGGAAAATAAGTTCTCTATCATAAGGGCTTCCATGGGCCAGGGTATTATTGTGCGTATAAAAAGACCAAACCTTTAAATCCGCGTGACTTAAAAAAACGGGTCTCAATATCTAAAAAAAATATTTATGTTAATAAAAAAAAAACTAATAGCCAATAATGACAAAAAAGATGACCTGGCCCTTAAAAAGTGTCAAATTTATTTTTGCAGAGAAAATAGGATTATAGATTAAATTATATTTTGGCCCCAATTTATTAGAATCATACTTCGTAGTTGAATTTATCGTCACAACCTGGTGTCAATTCGCCGACGGTTTCGTCCCTGTATTTAGATGGCCTAAAAGACGAGCGGTTGTATAAAAAATTACGAAAGAGGGTAGGATGACAGCGATTTAATTTGGAAACAGATGTCCAAATATGGAAGCATAGCCCATCTTCCATATCGCCTTTGGTTTTATTATTTTCCTCGACTGCACTAGTTTTACTAATAATGGCTGCTTTGGAGCTGAGATTGAAATTAAAGTCTCTCCAGACATCTAACTTATCTTTTTGGAAATTGGACACGAAATCAATATACCTTTTTGAAGAACTGTGGTATGCCAGGTAGCGGAGATAAAAATGGTTGAATTCGAAATGGGTGGTGTATTTATTCATGATCTTTATAAATAATTTGTGTAGAGATAATAATATGTAGTTTAAATTTATGTGAAGTTTTCACATAGTACATATTTTTTTTATTTTATTTTAATTTATAATATCGATCACTTGATGAATCAAGTCCAAAAATTGTAAAAATATGGGAACATATCCATCGTTTTGCGAATTGGAAGACTGAGTGACATTCCTACGATCAAATTTATGACCAAATGCGCCCCATTCTTTTTCGACCAAGACTTGAAATCCGTTAAAGGTTCGGTAATAAGGATCCATCATTATTTGAACTACGGATACTATCTGAATGTTATATAAGAGGTAGAAAAAAGTGATTGGAAAATTGCCCCCTCAAATTTTTTAATTATTCTTTAATACCCGAAAATGAATATATGGAATCTAAAGATATTAATAAAAACTATTTTAAATAGATATTCATATGTTCTTCGTAAAAAAAGTATTAATAGTATTAGGTGAAGATGCTTGAAATAGAGCAAATTAAAAACAAACAATTCATAAAATAGAGTCTATGATACAAGAAAAAGAAATCTCTAAATATTTCCCAAAGAAGTTTCTAAATTCGATAAAAATGCAGGCAAAATGCTAGCAGAGAAATCAGATAAAAGAATATCAAATAGCTAAATTTGAAGATATTTAAAATAATATTCATATATAAAGTGATTTGAAAAATTGTTCAGAAAATTATATCCGTTTATTTATGAGGCTTCACCGATCCCCAATTTTTTAATCGATCTGATATTTAAATTATTTTTTTGCAATTATTTTATATTTGGAATAATAAAAATCTTTGTATAAATTTTTTTAAAAAGCGTTTCATCCAAAACTGGCTCTTAAAAATCAAAAAAGTCATAAAGCTTTACAATTCTATAAATATATCTTATCTTTAAAATGGTAGAAAGGTTTGTATTTATAAAATAATTAGTAAATAATGTCTTATTTTAACAATAGCCTTTAGAGATTAATTGTACATATAGTTTCATGACAAATATAAATACACAAATTTTTTATTTCTTCTATCGTTAAAAAATGTAAAAATATATTAAACATTTTGATTTTATAAGACACTTTTGGAAGTTATGAAGATTTATTGCGAGGGAAATTGGTTCAAAAATAAATAAAAAATATATATATCGGCATCGGTTAAATTTTCAAAAAATATGGGCTGATCCAATATTCTCCTAAAAATCTAATATTGGCGCAGATCCACCGTTATTTAATATTAAAGCCTTGGTTTTTTCCTATCATACAACGAATATTTTTCTTACAGAAGAGATAATAATTTTTTAGAAAAAAATAATTCTTATAATCTCTACCCGAAATCGTATATTTGTATTATTGCAGACTGGGAAAAAATAAAAACCCAAGTCAAAAAAATACTAGAAATTATTTTAGCTAAGATCATAAACGAAATATTTTTCCAGATCTTTCAAATGTGGATATAGAAAAGCACGCGATGGCAGAAAATGATTAACAAGGGGAGACAAAATCTCAATTCATTGCACGTTGTGCTAAGTCAAGATATTGGCCTAAAAAAGGTAATGTATATAAAAATATGTTATCAGACGTAGATAAGATAAATAACTGGTGTAAAGGTTGGGATCGGTTTTCCTAGGATGCAAACTTCTCTATATCGCAGGACTCACTCAAAAGATGCGACGCGAAATTGGAGTGGATCAAATAAAATCGGAAAAATGGGGTATATTTATGCTGATGAATTAGAATAAAAAACGAGTAAGACATAACAAAACAGAAGGATATTTTAAAAAACTGCGAAGAATTTAGAGATGGGATTCCCACCTTACCGAATTTTCTGAGCCATTAAATTAAATTAAAGACGTGCAGGTCTACCCAAAAACTACCCAGTCTGGGGGTAGCCGTAGAGTGGTATTTTAAAATCCTGACCTGGATTAAAAATGAAAGAATTACAAACTCGGAGTGAAATAAGCTCAATTGTTTTGGCCGATTTTAAAAATATTATTATGTCAATTAATCAGCTGGAAAATCGTATAATAGATCGTTTAACATTCATTTACACTATATATATTTTAAATTTTCCTTTGAAATGATTTACAAAATACAGCCGATAATTTAAAATAGTGAAACTATAAAATCGAGGCCAAAAAATATTTATTTGATTGGCTTGAAAATTGAATGTTAAAATATGTTACACAATGTACGATAATATGTAGCACTGGCTTTGCCAAATAGTGTCCCTTTCCAGTTTCTTTAATGCTAACATACCTCTCGCGAATTCGTGGCGAATTATATAAAATATGTTGTACTTTTGTATTCTTCGCCGAGAATTCGAGCTAACAAATAAAATGCTTTTTTTGTCACGGTTGTTTAATTGTATTGTTTGCATTCTTAACTTAATAAAATCAAAAAATTTAGATTTTATTTTAAAGGAGTGAAGGGATTCGGAGGCCAATATTTTAGAAGGACAATTTTCTGGCATTTATAAAAAACATATACGCTATATTATTTTATAATACAATGTTCTAATAAATATAAAATAATTTCAAAAACAGGTTATAATTTTTGCCCGACATATGTATTTTACTTTTGTATGGCATATATATTATACTTGAGAGGTAATGTCTGAGCCATCTTCTAGACCTACAATGACAGACGATCCTATATCATTCAAAATTTCAACTATTATGTTAGAGATCCTGATAATATTGTAGAGCTATAAATAAAATATAATTTTTAATTAATTCCAATTATTAAATATAATTTCGGTTTTAGAATAGAATACTTAGTTAATTATAAAAACCGTTAATTGATCCCAATCGACTGTAATAAATGGATGAATAATTAACCTGTCGGAACCACCCTGAAGCCTCGATTCCTGAAAGAAATTTTCTGTGCGAACCAGGCTTAATATAGTTGTATTTGGAAGAATTGATTGTTTGTGTTTTAATTGGTCGAAGATTGTTGATTAACAATTTTTTTGTGTACGCGTCAATATAATTTAAACCTTTGATTTTAGCTTTTGACAAAATAGGTATAAATGAGAGTGTAGAATTAATTGAACGTGAAGCAAATTAATATGCTATATTTTAAATTTAATATCTCAACGCTATCTACTAGACAAATCAATTTTTTATTCAGGAGTATTAAATCCAGGTGTGTAGAGAACACTCCCCTCCACAGTATCTACCACTATTTTTAAAACAAAATAATTATAATCCTCTGCATATAATTCTCGAGCAAAAAGATGCATCTTAAAGGATCATTATTATTTTTATATTAGATTCTTAATACATTCGGTAATGAATCATAATCACAAATAAAAGATTATTTAAAAATTTTTGTTGGAGCCAAGGGGCACGTTACTACCATTATTTTCATAGGTTTGATGTGGGATAAGGTGAGTATATTATGAGATAACTAGGAATGAAAATCGCTGATAAATTTGTTATAAGAATAATCATTACAAGAATTTGACAAAGATGCATCGTCATCATTTAAGATGGGATTTGCGAGAAGGCTATTGTAGGAGCGAGAGATAGTTTTATCGTTGACGAGTTTAAAATCGCTATTCGGTTCTTGATTAGAGTTTAGATGATTTTGGTCGAGAAATGATTCGCTGGCCAAGCAAGCTTCCATTAATTTTTTAAAACTAGCTTTAACATTCCTAATACCTTCGTATTGAAATGGGATGAACTTAAATTCATTGGCGGGAAGTTGAGATTCCAGCTTAAGATTCTAAGAATAAATAAAAAATCTGTGTTTCCTTTTTGATAATTTTGTTGTATTAATTCATATAAAAATTCTATAAAATTCGTAATTAAAGAATTTAGTTTTTATATACTTTTATTTGAAATTTCTCCCCTACTATATAAATCAAGTGCGGCCTGTGATTGTTATCCATATTATAAGTACGACGAGTAAGAACGGGAGAAAAGTTGTTACATTGACTAGCGCTCATGGACGTGTTATTGATGGCTTGGTGGTCATAAATACAAAATATGCGATATGATAAGGAAGTAATTCCATGTGTCAAATAGATCATAATTCTTCGGAATCCTTGGGTTTAAGTGAAATTTTGTATACAAACTAAAACACAACTAAAGCTGTGTTTAGATATTAGAATCATTATTTATAATACTGTAGTTTTTATTATATTACACGCAAAATTAAGTTATTTTCATGCTTTGACTCTTGATATCTCTAAATATAAGAGCTCAGACGCTAATCCGAACACTGCTTTAGTTACGTGTACTTTAGTTTATAAAGAAAATTTCACCCAAATTCAAAGGGATCTTGTGAAAATCATATTTTTCATTGATTTGATATGGAATGATCCAGTGTGTAAAATGTTATTTATTATAATTTTAACATATGTTATATTCCATATCAAATCAACTGAAGATTCAACCCGACCCTCTTCGATTTTTAAAAAAATTTTTATGTTGGTAGTATACACACTAACTAATAAAAATGTAAAATTTTACTTTTCAAATCGGCTTACTTCATGAGATATGGACATCTTTAGAAACGCGAAAATTCCAAAATACACGATATTTAATTTTAAATATCTCAAAAAGAAATTAAGCTAAAAACACAATTTAAATCTTATTAAATAGCTCTAGAATAGCCCTTTAATATGATATAAAATTTATTTTATTGAAAATAAGTCTATTACCAAAAACCGGAAATGGCTATAAAATAAAAATTTCTCTTTTTTTTCCTTTCAAATTTTTTTACAGGTAGACATTATATTTCGTAATGTTTGTACAATCCTAGATTGTGACGAGTACTGGGTCAATAGTTATTACACTTTAAATATAAGTAGTATGGCTTAAATCCTATATTATACCAAATATAGAGTAATTATTTTTTTTTAAAAATGTGGGCAATATATGTGAATAATAGCATTAAAACTAAAATCCTAAAAAATCTTATTATTTTGCGTTTTTTAATATTTATAAACGCAAAATAACATTTACCAAATTGTAATGTCTAATTTTAAATTTAACGCAAAACGCCTTAAATTGGAAGGATTATAAGGAATAAATAATAAGATATTGTAAAAAGTAATAAAGTAAAAACAATATCATAAAACCAAGCAGGTCTCTGTAAAATATATCAGAGACCTGCAGAGGCCAAATTTTTAGAAATGGTACAAACTTAATCCCTACCCTGAATTCTAAAATATTTTTTGCCTGACCCAGAATTTTAAAAGCTTTATTTTATGGCTCGACCCAGGTTTTTTTTAAATTTGATTTAAAATCATTTCAACTGTATTTGGTAAGAAAACGATTTTAGCTGGCTATATTTTAAAATTGGGCCCGGCCTAGACAGCAATATATAATTATTAAAGAAAGAAATTAAAATTACATTTATCGGAACGGCCCTTAAGATTGTTTAATGCCCTGTAAAATGGTTTATACTTCTTCTTTTCGTCTAGTCTCGTATGTCCTAAAAAATTCAAAAAACCAAAGTTAAGTGACAATATCAATGATAATTAAAAAACAATCAATTTAATTTTTAACAGAAAAAGAATGTAGTTAGTTCTTTTCCTTTTATACATTTTTGAATATAAAAAAATAGTATTAAAATTAGCTCTAATTAATGAATAATTATTTGCAAAACTAATTTCACGGCTAGGGTTGGTTGATAAAATTACATTTGATTATAATCACTGTTTTTTTAAATTTTAATAATACGATTTTATTTAATAATTTTGATCAAAATACAATATAGTGAAATATAAATACTTAGATTACTTTAAAAGTTAATTTTTCTAAAATAAAAAATACCAAATCGCATTAGTAATAATTAATAGCCTCATGGTTCAGGTTTGTAAAAAATAATGATATCGGTTGATTTGAACCATTAAAATCGCTTCAAACCATCTTACCTACAAACTTAATAGAATTATGAGAAGCACATTAAAAAAAAATTTTTTATCATTCAAAAAATAATTTTGACTGTGATTTGCAATTAAAATATTTTAAAGTCTTGGCTGTCAAATAAACTCCATACGGAAAAAGAATAAATTATATGGTTGAAGACACTTCTATAAGCTAACTTGGATATCTAGCATCGCCAAATAGCAATATACTAAAATTCTATAAAATATTTACTGTTACTTATCAATCAAAAGTCAAAAATAACTAATAATAATCATTATAAGAGAAAAGGTTCAAATCTGTTCATAGACCATTATAAAAGTTCGGCTCAGATGACAAATTTCTTAATAATTCAAATTCAATTTAGGCTTTGAAAATAATACCGGTTTAAAAGTTCAGTTCGGATCCCTGTTTATAATATGTATAGAAACAATTATTAATTCTAATCTCAATGAAAGGAGAAATTATTTAATACTCTGAATTTGAAATAAAATATAACGTTTTAAGCTAATATCAATCTACATAAATTTCTTTAAAATTTTTTGCTCCTATTTTCAACGTGTTGATTAAAATCGCGTTTTAAATTGATCTTTTCTTAAAAATCACATTTTTTGCCAAACTTACAAGGATAAGAATTTTTATTTACCCATTTGCATCGAATTTATGCTGACATACGATCCCCTCATGTTATAAACCAAGGATGGTGCATAGTTTTGATCGTATTTTGATTCTGTACTTTTATTATATTTGCTACATTTAGAAGCATTGATAGAATCTAATAAGGCTCGAATGTATTTCCTCTGATCCCCAAACATGAAATTTGGCTCATTGTGAATCACCTTATTGGAGGAGTGGAGAGCTATTGTTAACCAAAAAAATTTACAAATGAAATGATCAAATTTTAAAGCGAATAAAATAAAATACTAAAGTTAAAACGAATAGTAATAGTACAAACGATGGGATGGATGACTAGAAAATTTAATCGCTATGCTCATTCGGGTTTTAAAATTTTATAAGGAAATTTTTATTATTTTTGGTTAATTTTTTTAGGTTCGGTTCTTTTAAGAATTTGTATCGATTAATAATCGGGAAATTATAAAAGTTCGTTCCGTTTAAAAGGAGGATTATGAACGATAGTTTTTCATAATTATGTACCGCTTTGTATGGAATTTAATGGGAGATGACTATGACTTTTGAAGAACTTGATTAGATTGTTGGAACTAAAACTGCCAGATCTCAGCAATAAAGCTCTATTTTGATGATTTTTCCATGAAACGACAGGGAAACTATTATGCAAGAAATATTTAAAAAAAATATATATAAATTTTTTAATATAATAATGTCTTACCGATTATGCTTATATCCTTTCGAAATTTTATACAAATCTTCGTTTGTTAAGGATGAAGGCATTACTAAATAAGCGGGATATCTGTTTAAAAATAATTATTTCAAAAGAATATTAATGATCGAATAAAATATAAAGTACAATATTTTCCCACAAGTCTTCCCAAGTTATTTATTTAAAAAAATAATAATAGCATTATTCCTAATTGAAGGTCAACGATTAAATCCATTTTTTGTCATAGGTTTTCCGTCAGGTATTTTAACAAAGACTTTGGTCCTGATCGTGAATTTCGTTAATTATCCCTGATTCTAGTCTTACAATATAATAAAAATTAAATAATAAATTGAAAAGGTTGATTACGTGGAACAAAGTTGAAAGGAGATATTCGTCTCGAATACCTTAAAATTATTTTCCTGGTTGTTACAGGTAACCTCGCTTCTGTTACTAGCGTCCAAGTTTTTATCCGTTTCAGAATAATTATTATTTGCTATCTTCTGATTGATGGACTTGATAAGGCCCAATCTTTCGCAGTCATTTAAGTAAGGTAGGTTTATTTCAGTTTTAAAAGCATCGAATTTATGCGAAAGAGAGTCTACCGGTGATAAACCAGTTTTCACGTCGCTATTTATAGAGGTTGTTGGGGAAGTTTTGTTGGAATCCCCGCTAGATTCATTATTATCTTTATTTTCTTTGTCATTTGAGATGAAATTATTTCTGGCTGTGACAAGGGGGGGAGGCAAAGTTTTGCTACCGTGAGATTGAGAAGCTAGGAAAGAGGAAGGATTGTGGATAGAGTTGCGTTTAGTATGGAGTAGAGTTTTTTTGGAAGAAGATATAAAATTGGTAGTTTTTTTGGCCAAATTTCTATTGAATAAAAATAAATAAATTTGATAATATGGTCGTATAATATTGGTAGAAGAATCACATGATTACTTCAATGTATGGGCCTTGTTTTTCTTGGGAAAATCATCTATTCCATTGAGATCCAATTGGACAACAGGAAAATTAATTTCCCTTTTATCGTTATTCAAACGTAAACTTTGGGAATTTGGAGAGTTTTCGTGATTTAAACAACTAAATGCGAAAGTAGATGACCTATTTTCGGGATATCTAAGAGTATTCAGAATTTTGCAAAGCCATTCTATAATGTTTTCCTGAGATGAGCAAATGTCGTTCTCAAAGGCAATGTTCATTACCTGAAGGATAAGTTTAGAGAAATTTTTTAACAAAATAAAAATTGTTTTCCTGTGCAAGATCAATTAATGAGTTTTAATTTAAATAAATGTCGCTGTTTAATATTATAAGGGCTTTCTTAATTTAGGGGGGTATGGGGGGGGGGGGAGTAAGAATAAAATCGTCCGTAAAGCAATTTCCAAAAAAAGTTAAGTAAAAACCCTATAATAATTAAAGGACGATTAAACTTTTTTATTAAAAAAAATATGAATATAACTTGAAAGGAGCAAGATTTTAACTGCAATACGTATCGTATATCTTGGTAGAACATTTTACCGTGATTTCCCAGATTAACTTGGTTATTTGACTCCTTGCGGTGGTTGAGAACAAATTTATTGGGGTTATTTATGATGTTGTAATGATTAAAGTCTAACTTTTTAATTTTTACTAGGGATGAGACAGGAAAGCTAACGATGATATTTGACTCGCATACTGCAAAAACAATAATATTATTATTAAGAGAAAGTTTATGGTGAAATCAACATGATGACGGAAAAACATTTTTCAAAATAAAAGTTATATGGGTTGAAAAATTATTTAAAAAAATAAAATTTTAAGTTCGCGAGTAAAAGTAATTTTTTACATATTCGCGTCAGGTCTGTAATAAGCAAATTCGAACTGGCCCTCACAGTTAAACAAAAGGTATTTTATTCAGATATTAAAATACCATATCAAATTTTTGATATTGTTTAGACGATATTAATATTTTTTTTTATTAAATTAATAGTTATGAATTTTTTTTTTAAAATTAAACACTAAAAATATTATTCAAATAAATTTACCCATTGTGTCACAGGGAATGCCTTTAAAAATTATGCGATAATTGGTAATGAAGAAAGCGCCTTGAGCCGGCAAATATCCATATATGTCGGAATCATGCAAGCTAGAAGGCATCAGATAGGATCTCAAACCATCTTTAATAATAATCTTCTCTCCGAGGAGTAGAAAAGGGTAGGTTATTTTTACCTATTTAATAAAAATGGATCATAAATTAAAAATAATTGATTGATGTTAAATTAATATCGGATAATTAAATGAATGTCCAAAAATTCTTATTATTAAAGGATTGAAATGCAACAAATATTAATAAAAAAATGTTACATTTCAATGTTGCAATAAAATATTATTTTAATACCTTGGTTGTAGGGTTTAAAGTAAGAATTTGACGTTGAACCGTTTCCAGTGTTTCTAAGTGCATAGTAATTAAGCCTAATGTACATAATAAAACTATTAGATAACTGAAAGTTTAAAATATTTTAACAAATGTATTAAAAATATTTAAGAATTGTTATCATAATAACTTTAGTAATTAAGATATAAGTAGAAAATTACTAAAGGACGATCAAAGAAGCTGTAGTTACCTTTATAGAAACTTTCACAAAGCATTTGATCCAATTCAAAGTGTCATTCTTTACAATTCCCCAAAAATAGAAAAAACACATGACTACTAATTAATTTTAAATGTGACAGGGGGTATTTTAAATGTAAAATGTGGAAAGTGACCTTGGCAATTCGGTAGATTGAGCCAATTTTACCCATTACCCAATTACAATAATCATCAATATTAACATTTTACCCATATTTCCTTATATTTTATTAACGAATCTGTGAAAGCTTCCTCCTCGCTCACTAATTAATGTTCTTTTACCTCTCAAAATCTTTGCGAAATCAAAAGCACAAAAAAATGATTTAACTTACAAGTTTTGGATATCAACTATACTATGATAATAATGAATAATAAGGGATTATGCAAAATATTTTCAAATTAAGTCAAAAAGTTTATGTGTGCGGGATTGTTGGAAATGTAGGAAAAATTATAGGAAACACAAGATATTTGGTAAGGTAAAATGGTGTATTTGTATATTCTCCACATCAGGATCAGTTAAAGAGTTGGTCAAATTGGTTGGAGGGAAATTTCAAAATTGGGAAGATGCAATGAATAGTTATTTTTTTAAATTTGATATAGTAGGTTCTTAGGCATATATATTTTTTAAAATACCCGGTATCATTTGATATAAGGCATTGATGTGTTCCTTCTTGACGGCCAAGTCGGGTCCACACACCTTATCTACGAAACGGAGAATAAAACGTTTTAACTCGAGCGCGCTATCGTGGTGATCACTAACGCTGTTCTTGTATGAAATAACGCCTCCTTCTTCAAATCCGCTTTCTATATCAAGGCTTTGACTACCGTTCATGCTTATTTATATTTAAATATTTTAAAAAAAATAATTATAAGAAATATTATATTTTGAACAATCATAACGTTATCAAATCCCTTCGTTAAAACTGGTTTACCAGGGTAAACCTAGGAAATCGCCAATAAACGATAAAGTTGTACTTGCAGCGGAAATATTTAATAACAGATATCGGTTTATATATTTGTTACCAACGATCATATTTTACAAACAAAATCAACCATAATATCATATATTTTTAAATAAGAAATTGAGCACAGAATTTCTAACATGAAGGGGTGGGTTATTTCATGAGAATTTTCTAAGTAAATACTTCAAGAGGGAGGTAAAAAAAATTAGCGACTTATTTTTTTCATAATTAATAAGTGTATTTCTTTATAAAAACTATTATAAATATTTATATTCATCCTACCCCTCTACATTCTATTTCTAATCCTAAATTTAACTTAATTTTCCATTATTGGCTAGAAAATTTTTAAACTCCGTTATTTTATTTATGCCGAGCAATACGACGCAAAACAAATATGCCTGGCGACTTATTTTTTTCATAATTAATAAGTGTATTTCTTTATAAAAACTATTATAAATATTTATATTCATCCTACCCCTCTACATTCTATTTCTAATCCTAAATTTAACTTAATTTTCCATTATTGGCTAGAAAATTTTTAAACTCCGTTATTTTATTTATGCCGAGCAATACGACGCAAAACAAATATGCCTGCCAAATATTGGTGAGGTGCATATCCAAGAATATTAAGTTTTGTTGGAGTCAATAGCAAAATCGATCAACGACTTCTACTTTTCTTTAGATTTAGTTATCATCAGTGTGTCAAGTCAAAAAATTTGCTAGAGGCTAACTCCCTCCAAAACTTACCTCCCCCTCCCACCCTCAAAAATCATTTTGCGGTCCGGTAATGTTATACAATAGCAAATTGATGATATCAATAAAAAAAATTCTTATCCTTTATAATAATCCTCAAAAAATGTCAATCAAATTTAGCCAATAGTATTCTTTTAAAAAATATTTGTCCAATAAAAATGATTATAGCGTATTAGGTCCAATGGTAATCATTATACCAAACTCAAACATTCATCCATTTAGCTACCATTTCTAACACATTTTACCATCTTCATAAGGTTTAATTTTTTAAAGTTATTCTTTTAGTCATATTATTTTTTTTAAACAATCAATTCATACTACGAAAATTAACTTTTATATACTCAACCCACTGAAGGCGTTAAGATATTGGGTTGCAGGCTAAATATTCATTTTTCATAACTATAAAATCTAACAAATTTTATTTAGATAAATTATCAATAAAAAGAAATCTATCAAATCAGAAAATTTAGCTTAGCTACTTGCATTTTGTATGATTATATATTTTTGCATGGTAATAGGAAAAAAACCCCCGGAAAAAAAATCCCCGGAAAATAAACCCCCAGGAAAAAAACCCCCGGAAAAAAACCCCCAGGAAATAAAACCCCCGGGAAAAAACCCCCAGGAAAAAAACCCCTTGGGATTATTTTTATACATTCTCATATTTAAGTATAATCTAGCAATAATTTATATTTAATTGGTATTTAGACAATTGCAAGTTAATAATTTGTTAAAAATATTATTGTTCAGCAACTAGTTAAATGAACAGATATTAAAATGTATTTTGATCATTAAGTTTTAAAATGTATTTTTAATCAAAAGAATAAAAATTGTTTATCAATTAAAAACGCTATAATTGGTATTTATTTATAAAATTAAACAATAATAATTTGGATCTTTATGCCGTATATAAAGACAAAAAAAATTTTTTAATTTACAAAAATATTTTATTCATATTCTTCTTTTAAATGCCGAGCAATACTTTTTTCAACACTCGATAATCAAGACCCGGTTCTTGATACAGCTCATAATCATCCATCAAATATTGATGGACTAGTAGCAATGAAATCCATTGCTAACATGAAGAAGCGATGTGCAGACTCTTTGGCAAAACCTCTTCAAATTTATGCAGAGGAAATTGTAAAATTAGACCAAAGAGTTCAGTCGCATATGTTATCAGAAGATTCTTTAAAAAGAACTCTAAGGAATCACAAAGCAATGCAACACCCTTCAAATCTTGAGAATTTGGAAGACCTAGTTATTGAAGGTATTAGTTTAAATATAATTATATTTTCATAAAAATTTAAATATTATAGGTGATTGGGCAAATTGTGGCTCCCAGAACTCAAAACGATTTTTATTATTTGATAATGGCCCACAAGCTGAAGAACGCATAATAATGTTCGCAACAGATGATTCCTTGAATCTAATATCTAATAGGACAGAGTGGTATATACAGGACCGATGAAACTAAGTTTTTTTTGTGGCATGATGGACGGCTTAGCATTTCCGTTATGTGATATGGGCAATGCAATGACATTCCTGAGATCGGTTACTCCGAGCAATGGTAAGGATATTCTTGATTATTTCGATAAAAATTATGTCAATGGAGTATCAAGGGAGGTCATAAGAAGCAATTCTCAATCCCAAACACGTCGAATTGAGCCTCGATTTCCTCCAGAAACCTGGAACGTGAATCAGAGCACTCTCTCAGATGAAGAACGAACAAATAATCAATGCGAAGGTTGGAATCATCGTTTTTCTGATCTGGTTAGGAATAAACACCCATCAATCTGGGTACTCATTAAAAAAATGAAATGCGAGGTGGCTGCCGATGAAACCAAACTTGAAAGATGGCGCATAGGTAGTTGGACATCGAAAACAAAATCGCAGAGTTCTAACAACCAGATTCGGCTAAAGAAACTTTGCGAAGAAGACCGTGATGGGGTGCGAAGCCTTCCAGATTTTATAAGAGCGATTTCCTTCAATATTCGATGTCAACCCATATAATTATTATTATAAAATTTGTATATACATAATCATGATTTACCAATAAAATGAACATTTCTTATTTTGTCAAATTTAGTCTATTTAATATCATATTTAAAGATTGTATTTTTACTATAGCAAAATTTTTTTACAATACATAGTTATTTTACTGAGGCATTTTTTCCCAGTACCAATTTGAACATCAGTTTTTCTTATTTAAGCATTTTTTTATGAAGAGTAGGCCAAATAAAAATATGCCTATATTATTAGGTCTTAATTAAATTCTATAAAAAGGAAAAAAAATTCTGGGGGTTTTTTTTCCTAAGAGTTTATTTACCGGGGGTTTATTTTCCGGGGGTTTTTTTTCCTGGGGTTTTTTTCCGGGATTCATTTTTGCATTTATATCATTCTCAGTTTAGTTACACCCTTGGAGTTGTTATATTAAAAACATCATAATTTATGAGTTATCACTTCTATGAAATATAATAGGTCTGTTATTTAGCGCTAATTGTTATTATTGGAAGCAGTTTGGATTTATTAAAATTAAGTCTTTTAAAATTGGCTTCAAAAAAATTTATACTTCAATTATTTTATTTTTGATGAGATCACGAACACCAAGGTGAAATAAGAGAGGACATGTGCCCCCTGCTGGATCCTTTCATCAGTCTATGACATGTGGGCTGAATAAAATTTAGGAGTAAACAATTAATGAAATGTTCTCGAAATTTGTTATTAAAAGTACTTTTAATATACTTTGATAATATCCATGTTAGGAGAGGATTCTGAATATAATACGAATGGCATGCTATTTTGACGTATCCCTTAAACACTTAATCCTAATTGCTATTATGCCTAATAAGTTAAGACCATGGGTTTTGACCCTTGGCAATTATTTTTGCTAATAATCTTAAATAGCCAATTGCAATGGGACAGATAATTTATTCCTCTCATTTGGCTACTGATTAAAGAAAAGATTATTTCAACGTTGGCATTATGAACTGATATAGAAAAAAAATAAAGCTTGCTATAATAGCAGTTAATTACATTTTTAAGGATAGGAATATAAGAGAAATCAGACCCATTTTTAGTGAAGAGCAGATTTTGCATATTCAACTATCGGATTTTATTTTTGACTACATGGGAACATTTTTAATTTCTATCCATTGGAAACATTCAATTCTTCTAGAGGTTCTGACTAAAGGGCAAAATATAAAATGCTATGTCTACATTTAATAAATTATCTTTCATTGCATCTATTTAATTTTTTGTCCATTTTTAACATTTGTTTCTGTTACTTATTAGTAACGATTTTATTTTGTTAATATATTGTAGATAATGAAGGTTTAAGGCTATCGTGTGATATATAGAATTAAACTTTTATTTTATATTAATTTTTATAGAAAACGTTATTTTATATAATATATAATTACATAATTGATTTACTTTGGATATAAAAAGAGATCTTATATTATAAATTCAGTTAACTTTTCATAATAAAAATTCTTATTCCTTACTACTCGCCTGAGAATTATATTATTCCATCTCCACTTTTCTCTGTATTTTGAATATTAGAAATGCTTTTTTAATTTTTTTTTTAATTTAAGGATGTGTATATTTAATACTCCTTATCACTTAATTATATAAAATACTATGATATATTTCTTAAAAAATCATTTTATTATTAAAAATATTATTCTATTCTCCAATCAACTTCTCTTTAAATCCAAAAATTCTATTTAAAAATAATAATTATTATTGTAAACAAGACAGATAAAATTTTATTTTAAAAATTTAAATAAAATATTTTAATGGAATGAAAAAATTTTGGTAATATTATTTATCTTAAAATAATAAAAAATATTCTTTTTAATTTTTTGAACCAGTAATATCAGGATCTTTATATAAAACCATACAATCAGGTAAAATAACACTTAATTTCATTTACATAATACTTGAAAACGTTTTAAAGGACCATGCTGGATGGATTGATTATTTTTTGTAAATGGAATAATATAATTTTAACAATAAGAAGAAATAGGGAGATAGAAAAATCTAATACTAGCTATAACTTATTTTATAAGTTAAATTTCTAAGATTTTTTTTGTAAATAGATTAATATATTCATAAATTTAATCTAACAAAAAAAATTATTTTTGACAAAAATGGAGATAGAATAACCTCTAACTCAGGTGACAAAATATTTTAATGATTTAAAATGGTTTAACATTTCAATCAGAGATCTTCATGGGGAGGCTTGCGGCCCATGAGGTGCCAGGTATAATATATTTACTAACGAGCCTGTGCCAGGACTGGGATTTTGACAAATAAAAAATTTTCATTAAATTTTGCCTATTAAACTGTGACTAACTTAAAAATATATTGCATTTTTTTTCTCTTCTGCACTCAAATATTGTATATTTTCATTTAAATAAATTAAATTTTGGGATATGGGCTTGGGTAAATTTTTGAAACTTATAATGGGCTTGGGTTTGAATTTTTTATTAAATATAGAATAGGCCTGCAAATTATATTTACTGCTGACCTGGGCTGGAGGCTAATGAATAAATCAAGGCCCATGAAGCTCTCTAATTTCAATAACTGAATTATTTTATTCCCATCTGACTTTATTTGAAATTAAAGGAACGGGCAAACCACAGATATGCCTTATTTAAATCATTTGCAAAAAAAATTCTGATAATTGCTGGATTCAAGAAATTGTTGGACACAAGGAAATAAAGAAAGCTATTGTGAAGTATATATATGGAGGAAATAATAACAAAAAAAAATGCCTGTTGTGACCTTGCTTTAAATTTAAATATATTTTAGGGATTTTATAATAACCCGTTATCAAAAATATAAGTTACTAGCTGATAGCCCGTCAAGAATGATGGGGAATCAGAATTTTCCTATCTTATGAGGTGTATTTAAATATACATTTTCGATTATTTTAATTTATGTGCACTATCAAAAATCTTTTAAACTAAATTTTTATTCATTTATATTGTAATTTATAATCTAAAATATATATTCTTGCTAGACATTAACATATAAAAAGTATGGAAAATTTTAGAATAACCCCTTATCTTAATAAATATAAATTTCTGAATAACAGCTCATAAGATAGGAAAATTTCTGATTTATCCATCATCAAATAAAGGATAAAATTCTGATTCCCCGTCATTCGTGACGGGCTATCAGCTAGTAATATATAATAAATACAATTCAATATCAAAATTATTTAAGGCATCATAAATTAGGATAGGAATAATAAATAACTATTGGTTGGTGATAATCAGCTGGTTATTATTAACCATAATCTAAAAATTAGTCCCGAGCGTGTCCCGTTTTTTGCTTCTTAGTCATTTCCATTTTTTTATTAAAAAATTTGCAATAAGCTTAAAGATTTTGAAATAATATAAAATTATTATTTTTTTATGAATTATAATATTTTTTGGATTATTTTCTATAAATTACTTTAAAAAATATATTATATTTGATACAGACAACTGTGCTATTAGGATATATATTTTAATGAAATATAACGAGATTGATTATGTTAAATTTTAGAAAAAAATCATATAGAAAGGGTTAATTTTTCACTTCATTGAGGCCCAGGGCGTGGGGTTCAAAAACCCTTAAAGCGTTGAATGTTTATTCTTATTATTCGTGACAGTTAAAATTAGTTATTGCTATATTTAAATTCTTCAGGTTAATCAGTATACTAGCTATAAACTGTAAACTAAGCTATAAAATGTATAGAGAAATAATTGTATAAAATTATTCATCTTATTCCATTTTTTTTAATGTCAAATTTAATTGATCCAAACGTTTTTACATTAATAAAAAATTTAAAACAGTTAAAGGAAATTATATTTTTCTCTGTAAAAATTAAATATAAACCTAGCTGTCATTAAGCTGGGCGAGCTTGTGGTGATCGTGGTAATGTTATCGTTGACCAGTAGATATCCACCATCATGCCACTCGTCATGTTCGATTTGCCGCTGTTCTTGATCGCCTATCAAACCTATAGGCATTTGTTTAAATTTGTATTTCGACTTTTGAAGAATAATATAAGCAAATTTGTTGCAAAACATTATATCTGGACTTCATGAGCTTGTAAGCGATTTAATTTTTTATCACATGATTAAAGCCATAGCAAATAACGTTATATTTTTTGTGCCAGTAATTATTAATTTAAATGTTTTATTAAATAAAAAAATAATATTTTAATTTTTTTTAACTTATTAAATTTTCGGAAGGAACCCGGCGAGAGATAGAAGGTAACAAAGGGAGACGCATGTATACCATTTGATTTACATGATGAATTGCCAAACTAAATATAATGGACTCCTCGGTGTCGGTAGCCTCAGATCCCAAGGCTAGACTTTCCTGTTCGGAAAATTTAATCTTTTTTGTAAAAAAATAGGGATTTGGCACCAAATACTAATAAAATTATTGAAATATTATCTCAATCAAAAAGGAGATTGCTGCATATACCTTTTCCGTAAATAAATACCTTGCCGGTTTATATATTTAAGCTTCTTTAGAATATTTTTGTGTATTAATCTATTATAAAAATATATCATAGTATTTTTAAAATACTTATCCCGATGACCCATTTCTATTGGCAGGAAGGTCAACGTTGGTTCTAACGGTCTTTGACTAAGACTAAACCGATTTTTGAGTTCAAATCCGACTAGTTATGGGCCGAGGTTCAGTCAGGTATTTGAATTTAAATCAAACCTAAAAACCGGAGGATGACCTCCCTATCCTTGTATTTAACAAAAAGTCAATGTCGAACATACAGGAATTTTAATCTAAGTTAAAAATGTTTTCCTAAAAATTTAACATTCGATGTCGTAAGGGCAAGGAATTCATTTTTTTTTGAATCTATATACTTATTTAAAAAATCATCATTTTGCATTGAAATAAAAAACCGACATTTAGATGATATTTTAGTTATCTTGTCAAGGAAACATAAAATTAAAAATTATAATGAAAATATTGAAATAAAAAAGGAAGAAAAAATTCTAAAATCAATAATAAAAGAAATAGGCAAAATAAATAATATAAATAAATAATATGGTAAAAAAAATAATGTTAAGTAGTAAATAAAAGTTATTCCAATTGGTAGGTTATGTTTATCTTCTCTGTTGCCTATTATTCCCTATCTAACCTAACATATTTTTTTTGCTACATTAATTATTTTGATTATTTCATTATTAATTTAAAGATTTCTTCTATTTTAATTTCTATACTTTATAGGAATTTTATGTGTCCTTGACAATGATAATTAATGTTAGAAACGTAGAAATAAATTTTAAATTTATTTTTCCAAACGGGTTTTACCATTAAAATAATTATTTTTAAATATAATATTAATGCACGTTAAAAATATAAACACTTTTAATTATCATTTTAATGTTTAAATAAAGCCTGTTAAATAAAAAAAAGGATTTATTTTGATATTCATTTACGTGTTGCGCTGCAATATCCAAAACAATTTTGCAATCTGATCCATTCTTATCAACAGTGTCGAAATTCTATATAAATAAATTTTTATAACCTATAATTTTTGTTATGAATAAAAAATGAAATATACCTTTAGGGAAGAATAGTGATTCTTCAACTGTTTCTGAACATCATTGTAAAATGCATACTCCCAAAATTGTAAATTTGTCCAAACTAAATGGTCTTGCAAACATGTATACGCGAATTGCAGAATACCAGTGCACAATTTCTAGATAAATAAATATTATTTTAAATATGTAAATATTGAATCTCAATGCTATCTAATTAAGACGTATTTTCTTTTTAAGGGTATTCCATAGGGGGTGTTATTTATATGATTCGAAATATTCAGTAACTTGTCAAATTAATCAATCTTTTAGTTGTTAAAATATTTTTTAATAACTAATTTATTAAATATTCTAATATTCCTTCCTTTATCATCAATTTGCTTTTGATATAAACATAATAAAAAAAAATTTTGATAAATTGTCCAAAAATCAAAATTATGTTACAATGATTAAGGCGTATATTTTAATCAAAATTAGAATTATGCCTATAACGAATTATGAAAATTCGAATCATAATATGAATAATGAGAAAAAATATTCGTCGAATAGTAAATTTTTATTATTCAATTCGAATTAGTAGAAATTATTTATAAATATTCATTTATATTCGTAATTTTTAGGAAATATTTTATTTTTTCGTTAGTATTAGTAAGTAAAAATATAAAGTAATTATTAAATTTTCCTAGTAGATTTTTTAAATTTTATTTCTTCTTTTTTTATCTTCATAAGAAGTAAAACATTTAATTGTTGTATATATGATAATATTAATTTTTTTAAATATTTATATTATTATATATTTGTTCGGATAAGGTTATGAAATCATTAGGTTTTATTTCGGTAATTTTCTGTAAATTTTAATATGCTAATGGCAATTAGCTTGGGTTTACTAGAATCCTTAAAGGTGTCATTTTAAGCATCCAAATCTGTATACAATTTTATTTACAAAATATAATCTATTTTTTATAAACATTATAAAAAATTTCTAATCAAATCGAATTGAATAATGATTTAAGTAATCGTAGAATATGAACAATGAATTATTCGATTCAAAAATTCAAATCGAATACGAATAATAGTGTTATTCGATAAGATTCTTTTTTTGTAGGCCTAATTAGAATATGAATTAATAATTATTTAGAACTCCAATTATATAAAAATTTTAATATTGGGGTCCATTATTTACCGGAAATGGTGGATTTAAGTTTTAGAAAAGGTTAATATCCAACCCATAATAATACATAATGGCAGTGACGAAGCATTCATAGAAGCAAGGAAAATATTGCTTGCCTTGTAATTTTTCTTCTAAAATTATCAAATGTAAATACTCTTTGGACCATAGGGGAATAATATAAAATTGCTTGTTTTTTTATTAAATAAAAAGAAAGTTTAGAAAAATTAATTATATATTTTTTTAAATCTTTAATTATTTTTCATACACCCTCAAGAAATTGATCATTGAAAAAAGAAGATCAACACCAACTTTACAAAATTTGGAAAATAATAAATTAAAAATTTTATTTGTAAATTTTTTTTTAGATGAATCAAAAATATGAGTGGCACACTGTCCAAATATTTCACGAAAAATTATCAAAAAAATTTATTGGTTATTTAAATGAAGCTTATTTTCAATTTTTAATTTACATAAACAGGTAACCGAATTAAAGGTAGTGTTTCGGGACGATGAATTTAAAAAGAATATCAATAAAATGCTGAAATTTATACACCGAATAGATTAAAACTTTCAATTTTGAAATTATGCAAATTCATCTTAACTTTGGCTCCAAAAACCGAAAATGAAGAGCAGGGCTTTTTATCTTTAAGTAATAAAAATTTATTGTGTAGACTCAGGATGAGTCAAAATTATGAATCCAATCCATCATTGATTTCAAGTGAAGAATTATAGAAAAATTTAAAAATAACTTTTAAAATTCAAGTAGTTAAATTTTACTCAAAAACAAAGATAATCTTAGCATTTTATAAAGTTTCACTAATAAAAAATTAATCTTCCTTAGTAGTAAACTTCTTCGTCACTGCATGGGGAGGGGAGAGAATATTACCCATGTTTTTTAAAGAAATAAAATATAATTTACCCGACAAAATATGGATGATAAAGGTAAAATAGCAGCTGCAACGTCATTTTCATCATTAATGGATTCGTACTGTTATTTTTTTATATATAAAGTATGATTTAAAAATAAAAAAAATTATTTAAAAAGATACATTTATTATATCGATACTCATGGTATTGGTTAATATTAATATCGGTCAATACTTCAAATTTATAACCTTCATATATTTTAGAAAAACTGTCTTACAATAAGCCATGAAAAAAAACTGGTCTATAAATTTCTAAACCGAAAAGAAATTTCATTTTTTCCCCTTTTTTTACTTGTAAAATTTAATTAATTGAATAGTAATAAAAAGGTACAGTGTTTGCCTTTGTTTTCGAGAAGCTTTTATAATGAGAACACAAAATATGTAAACAATATCCTTTAACATCATAAAAAATAAATAAATAAATGTTATTAACCCTATTTTTATCGTTCATCCGAATAAATTCTCATTTAAAACGAACATTTAATAAAAATAAGCTAGATATCTAAGATTATTTTAAAAAATTCAAAATAAATTTATTTGCTTAAAATAATCTTGCGCATCATTGGTAATACATAAAAATATATTTATAAAATACTCCAATCTATATTTTTTTTAATAAAAAGAATATATATAAACTTATTTTTGAATAAAAATAAGGTTGTGATTTTTTATAGAAAAGAATACTCAACGAGGATAAGTTTGCCTTATAAGATTTAGTAATATAGAATCAAATTCTTTTAATGAAGGAGGTTTAAAAGAATGGCATCAAGTAATTTTATTTTCTAGACCATCATTGTATAATCTTGGAAACACTAAAAGGAAATATTCATTGATATAAAAAATGTGAATCGCATATGCATAATTCATTCGAACTTGGAAGGAATCTATTTTATTGATGAATATTTACTTTTTATAAATATTTTTTTAAATCAATGATGAAAAAAAGAAAAATATCTATTATTAAATTGAAGGAATATATAAATCCATGCTAAGCCATGGCATCCATTAATTATTACTAAACAATATTAATTTTTTTAAGATTATTTCGATATTTTTATGCAATACCAATGGCGTATCCAGAATTTTCTTATGGGGGGGGGGGGGGGATTTATAATTATATTTCTATTTTTAACTATTATTTACTCATTCGTTCCTATGGATATTACAAGCCTTTTATTATTATTTTAAGATAGGTATATTATATTTAATAAAGTTTTTTTAAATGTAAAGTTGAAATAAAGTTTAATGCCATTTTTTTAATAAAATTTGCTTTAAAAACTAGCCTCAGCTTAAATTTTCATACAATATAAGTAGAATATAATTTTTTTATTGAAAATACTAATAGTAGTGTGTATAAAATATTGACTAGAAAATAATTTAAAAAACATGTTTTTGTTAACTTCTTATCAAATACAATATTATACAAAAATTTTTATTAAATACATTAATTATAATATGATTTTTAATTTTCGTGGGAATGTTGTCAATTCATCATGAATTTCGTTTGTCGTTGGAACCAAATCTCTGTGGATATTAGCGCTAACCCATTTAGTCGAGATTCGAAAGTAGTACTTCGTAAATATGTTTTCAACCTTCTCAAGTTGGAAAAAGTCCTTTCATTCGTACATGTTGTAATAGGTAAACATGCAAGAATATAAAACAACTTCAAAATATTAGGAAATTGAGCCAAGGTTTCTTTACACCGATTGAGCGCATCAATAGCATGATTAGGTAAAATAGATAAACGTAGTAAATATTTATACCACAATTTGAATTCACTGATTAAATTTATTTCAGTATCAATATCATAAGAATAAAAATTTGCTAAATATTTAATTTTACCAATAGTGGCATTAGAAAACGAAGAAGGATTTTTGGGTAATAAAACTTGAAGATTGCTAAAGACTTGTTTTTTTATCTAAAAACCGTACTTTTATTTGCGATAAAAATGTATCTAAGAATGGGATGAAAATGGATATATTATAATATTCTTCAGTTGAGCCAATATTTATTTTATATCTCAATAATTGCCTAGGTGCTAGACGAGGTTTAATTAGTGTTATATCATAAAATTTAGCCTTCGATTAAACGTCTAGAAAAATATTATGAAAATATTCGTCTACATTCATTCTTATTGTATCTACCTGTTCATATATATATTTTCCGCTAAATCAATAACCTGAACTAAATCTAAATTTGGTTCTTGTAAATTTCTACAAAGTAGTGAGCTATAGGTAAATAATTTATCGATGCTACTAGTAGCAATGATAAACTCTGATTGATCAATTGAATTATCGCTTCTGACGACACATTACTTTTTTTCATGCTAAGCCTTATTTAACTTTTGTATTTCTATTTCATTTGTTATATAAAATGGAAGTAAAAATGAAAAATATTTAAAAAATTATAAATATTTATTAATAATTAAAATATTATTAAAAATACTTATTAATTCTAACTCACTAATAATTATGAATTTAATAAAATAATTATAATATAATAATAAAATAAATTACCGTTTGATTTTAATCTCTTTGACTAAAAATTTTTCCATTTTATTAATATTTTTGAATAATGGCTAATGTACTCACAAGGAAAGGAATAGTTGGAAAATTGATATTCTAAGCCATGACATCCATTAATTATTACCAAACAATATTAATTTTAAGATTATTTCGATTATTTTTATGGAATACGATGCACAAAATTATTTTAAGCAAATAAATTTATTTAGAAAATTTTAAAATAATTTTACAGATCTTCAGCTGATTTTTATAAATAAATTATAAGTTTTATATTTTTTAATAGATGCTCGTTTTAAATGGGAATTTGTTTGAAAAGAATGGTAAAAATAGAGGTAATAACATTTTTTAAAATATTTTTTATAATTATAAAAAAAGGTCGTTTACGTATTTTCTGTTCTCATAATAAGAGTTCCTATTCGAAAACAACGGCAAACCCTGTAATATAATTTGCTAAATTAATTTATATATTTAATAAAATAGAAAAGATAAATTTATAATCTTTGAAATATTATAATTGCATGGTGGAGTTTATACAAATAAAGTTGAAGTTTCCCAATGATCGTGCAAATATGAATTTGATTGCTATGAACGATAAGACATGATATGATTTTAAAAAATCCATGAAATTATGCTAATTAAAAATTGACACGCCTTATTTAATTGTTCTCTTCCATTTGACTTATAAAATTCTTATTTTCAATTGATATTCATTGATCGAGAACATGAAGTTAATATAGTTTATTTTGAGGATGTTCGGTCATCCTCTGTTGTAGATAGTATCTCTCGTTGGGATCATTTGCTATAACTACTTAAAAAATACTAGGGTTAAGAGCCAAATTACGTTGCAATTACGGGCATGAATGTAAAGTTAGTAGGAAACTGGGAAATATTTGGCGAGTTTATTCATCTTAGCGTCCACGAGAGCATGACAATTTATATTGGATGGCGCAAGAAGATCAATGCCTGAAAAATCTCAGGCAAAAAACTCGATATTCGCCTTTTTTCCAAGAGATCATAGTAGATATTCATCTGTGTGTTTGCCATCGAAACTGTATAGTCGGAATGGCCTCATAGGTTGATGGAAAACCAGTGGATTTTGAGGTTCTGGCTATAGTGTGGTTACACTTTGAATTCCTGAGGATAGGATAGATTGCAATATAGGGAGTAGATGCCTTTGGAGACGATTATGACGCAACACTTCGTTGGTTAACAGCGAGGACAGATTTCTCGTTGGGAAGCGAAAAAGTCGTAACAGATCCCCGCAGAGATAAAAAAAAGATTAAGTTAGGCTCCTCGATTTATGATATGCAACGGAGTTGCAAACTAAAGGGCTATCCCAGTCCTATTGTCGTGTAGATGAGGGGGGGGGGGATCTAGCAAGGAAAGAGATTTCCAAAGATCCATTGCCTATTGAAACAAGAGGTCACGATGTGTATTTATGATGGGCTCACATGATTGGCGAGAGAAAATGAACGCGCGAATAAGTAAGGATGGCGACCTAATGCCAATGCCATCGGCTTTGGTCGGTAAGGCAGCCTGTAAACATGTTAGATCTCCAATTTAAGATTGAATATCTGTTTTCTTAGGCGCTTAATCTAAAGCTCATGTGTGGCAAGAATGGCACAATATTGAAAGATTCGTGAGATGGTAGTGTATACAGAATCTTTGGAATGAAAAGACAGTTCTTCAATAAGAAGAAAGCTTAGAAAGCAGGGAGGCGCGACAGGATATAGCAAGTGTTATCTCTTGTGTAGTTTTAGCAAGTATTGATAGACTCATTATTCCCTACCGGAATTCCCAGAGGAGTTAAAGAGTATAGGTTTGTGTGATTGAACCTAAGACATGATTAAGATCAAAGATGCCCAGGATAAAATATTCACTCATATCTGGATTAAGGCTTAGTCTCAGACTATTCTTGATGGATCAGATTATCTAACTGCCTTCTCCACTTCCACAAGTGGGCAACTTAATATGCCATCAATATACAAATAAGGACATTTTGCTCAAATTGGTTGTTGATTTCCCGAATCAGCTCTGAAGTCCAGGGAGAATAGATGAAACCCAGAGTGTCGCCCTGTTGGATTCTCTCGATAGAAGGAATCAATCTTTATCCGATCTTAAGGTGTGAGTGATTAGCTAGCAATCAAAAACAAATTGAGAACATTCTAAAATGAAGAATTTAGATTCTCTATCAGCTTAGGACTAAACTGGGCCATTGTAACACCTACTATCAGTTATATCTGCAAAAGTCTAGCAATAACCTCGAGTATCCCTTTTAATGTCACCTTTCAAGAGGCTTAGTACTTATAAACTTGGTCATACGGCTCATTTTGAGCGGATTTTTCAAAACGGCTAACTCAATATTTTAGCCAAAAAAATATTGGATAAGCCTCGAGATTTCGATAATATATGTCTAAACCTTTGTTCTTACTATGAGCAAAATCTTCAGTCCTAATATTTTTCTGGATGAAATATTGAGTTAGGCTTTTTTAAAAATCGGCTCAAAATTAGCCGTTTAACAACACTACATATAAATTTATTAATATCTATAACCTTGAGAACCACCAATATCCCATCCTCTTTTGAACCCTCCGGCCTCAGTTCTGTCAGTAAAACTAGACCGAATGGGATGACTCTCACCCCAAGGAATCAATGAGTACCCATTGCTTAGGTTTACATAAACGCAGATCGTTATGCGAAATCCTACCAACTACATCCTAAAACAAAAACTACAAAAAATTAACAAACACCTTATTTTCGTTCCGGTAGTCACTTACACCTGTGGTTCATTTAACAAGTCTTTCAAAATAAATGGAAAAAGTTATGTGTAGTAACAAGTGATCTAACGGAAGATTATTATTCGTGGGGAATATATTGAATTTCAATCCATAGATCATTAAATCCCTCCGTTTTAATTATCCTCAGGATTATACCCATACCCATGACTCTTCATGAATGGTTTAATTTCGAAGGGGAAATATTAGAAATCTACATAAGTCAAACCCATAATATAATTATTACTAACTATTATAAGCCAGAATTAAAAGCCAATTTTTTTAAAAAACATTCCTCATTAACTAAAATCCGGAGTTAATTTAAAAAAAGGTAAGGATATTCAAAAAAAATTAAAACCAAACCTTAATCTAAAATTTTAAAAAGATTACGTTTAAAGCGGTGTTCATAAGCTCGACAACCATATCGAATTGTTGGAAAGTTAATATACTCCGACTGTTGTTCTTAGAATGATATACCAACTGAGAACACAGAACGATTCTCACGTTAACGCTCCCTAGCATGCGAAGAGCGGACAAAAAAGTCTGTTTAATAAAAAAGAATATATAAATAAAATGCAATTTAATGTCAAAAGCCATCTTCCAAATCAACTTATATTACCTTTCTAGCTTGAACCAATTTATCTTTGAAGATATCATCCACGCACGCTCTAAATGTTATCAACCTTTTAACGTTAATGTTGTTACCATCCGGAGTATAATTAATCGATAATTCTGCATTAAAATCGGGGCCAAAGGGAACTTTTTGCATCAGAATCGTAGGAAAAGATGGGATAGGAAGATTTGATGATTCCTTGTGGTTGATATTGTATTAAAGTTTATATTTTAAGAAGTAAAAAAGATATTATTAAATATAATTAGATAAATTATATTAAAAAATTATCAAATAGTGGGGTATTGAAGAGAACTTTATATAGCCATCTTTAAATTTAAAATATCGCATATACGTTTATTTCAATTTTTACCGAATACTTATTAATTATGGCATTTATTAAAAAAATTCTACTTTGTGCCACAAATATTTAAAAATAAAAGGTATCGAACTCACTTCTTCATTTTCTCGCATAAAATCAGACACGCAATTCTCGCTAAGAACCGGGAAAGCCTTGCGGTCATAAAGACTGTCTGATAAGAGTCGGCCGGGTTTAGGAACTTTTTGAGTTACAGATGCATTAAGACATTCCTTTAAATGAATAAATGATATCGTATAATTGTTCGGTAAAAATTTTAATTGATTCTAAATATAGAGTTATTATGTAAATGCTATATATATAAATTCTTTTTAACAAATATATAAATATCCACTTTCATAATTATACCATAGGTTTTAAATTTGTTTATTATTCAACTTTTTCATTTATTAAACCACCTTTAATGAATATCTTAATAGTGAAATAAATAAAAAATTCATTCCTTTCCTTTCCATTTTACAGTTTGAAACTATTTCTTCCGAACCCCATCAATATTTATATTAGTTTGAAGATATGATTAATGTAAATAATTAATTAATACAGGTTTTTTACATTTTGTGAAAGCTGAAGAGCTAAATAACGGATTTCGTCCCCGATATATTTTTCATTTTTGTAAATATTGCCATGAACCTTTGATTCAAAATAAAAAATATTTGCAAAATAAGTATATCAGGCAAAAAAAAGCCCAGGAATTTGGTAAATGAGACTATCTTGATAAATCATATTTCAAAGTTTGATCAAAAAATAATAACTTGGTTACTCCAACATTTGTAAAATAATAATAACCGGAATGGATTGCTTTTTTTAAACCATTAATATCGAAGTATATTTAAAACAAAAAAGGCTTAATTTAATAATGAGGGTTAATTTTTTTAACTAAAATATTATGCGTATTTAAAAACTAAAAAAATATTGTTTTAGGGTCAACACATTTATAATTAAACAAAATAAATATATTTACAAAACTAAAATATTAATTGAGATCAAATTTACAAATAAAAATAATCTTCAGATGTGGGTAAAACTATTGGTACGTGATGTACAAATCTTTATTTGTCATTCTAAATTCGAACATAAAACAATCTTTTGATTTAGGTATGTCTTTGATTAGTAATATCATTATGAGTCTTAAATTCAAAGACCGAATCGAACTTTGACTTTTAATTATAGAAACGAATTATTTTTACACAAAATATCAATAAAGATAAGGTGATGATAATTAAATAATAATAAAAAAAAGTTGATGAAATTTTTTATTATTTATTAACACAATGGCTATTCTTTGCAGTTTTTCCCTGTTTTCTTTAAGGATCCTGTTCATCGTATTCGTGATATTTGGGAGGTGACTTGCTTCACCTAAGACGTATATTTACAGAATTTATCTACTCAATAATAGAATTTTCAGAACCTGGCGATATTTCAATAGCCTCTTATGATTTTAATGTTTCTTGAGTTGATCCATAATCTGGGTATTTCTCTGTTTAAGTGGCTCTGGATTTTACTTGATTACCTTCTATATTATACGCTAATTCCTATTTTTTGTGTTAAATGATTCGCGATATCCACCCAGTTAAATTTTCTTTCATAACAATATTGTATGATTTCCTCAAATCTCGATCTTAAGTCGGTTTGCCTAGTAGAACTTTTGTAACCATAGCTTTCCATATATGCTAGTCCGTAAATCTCAATCCAGATGGATTTCTGCGGGAGTACTGCCAGTGGTTTTATGGGCAGTATCTCGATTTCGGCATTATGATTATCAACGTTTTTCGATGGAAATCTCCATATATAGTAACGGGATTCTGAGACAGAAAGGTTTCACTTTCTTGTGATACAAATTGTCGAGTATTGCTTGAATCACAAATGGGAAAGCGGGCCAATAAAAATTATATTATACTATTTGAGGTAATCTACGTCATGATGGCTATTACAACCCATCTTGATCAATTAATAATATCTAACATTTTCTGCCTATGAGACCAGCGATATTATGTACTCTTACCCATACTGTCGTTTTATGTTCTATGAATAATGAGGTTATTTTATTTGCTACTGGTAAATTTTTCTGACAATCCTGGTATACTTAAATAATTTTTTTAATATCTTAATTTCAACCACACATAAAACCTAGATAGGCTTTTCATGTGATACCTGAGATCCTGAGTATCAACTAAAAACATCATTAGAGTATTTTAATTTGATTGCATAAAATGATTTCAACTTTTGGAGATAAAAATTGTTTAAAATTTGTAACATTCTGATGTATAGCGATTGGACGAATGCAAAGCAATCAATCTGCTTCCATAAAATAAGGGAATTGGGTGAGGTATCTCACCATTGGCTTATAGAACTTCATCAGTAGTTAATATGATAGAAGATATATTTAATAATGAAAATGAATTGTTAATATTTGCCGGATATATATGAAATCGTTTATAAATATATTACATCCTGTAACAGGAGCTATTGAATTATATTATAGTTAGAAAAATATTTTAAGTAGTGCTGTAAAGTAACGTCAAAAAAGTAACGTCTTTACCTTTTTGAAGAAATGGAAAAGCATTCGTTACCCTCTTCTAGAGGTAGCGAGTAACGGCGAATGTTAATCTAATTAATATTCAATCAAAATTCAAAGTAAATATTAATAATAATATTATCATTCTATTTTATAATTTATTTTAAGAATATTATATCCATAGTACTAATTTCTTCAGAAGATGATTTAAGACTTCCATTGCCCCAATTTGAAACATATTTTACATCAATAAAGAAAATTAAGGGTACAAAGTCTACACTTTGTAAATGTAAATTATGTCCTAACGCAAATATTTCAACCTCAATGTCCAGCAGTTCAAGCTTAAAAAAGCATATGAAGGAAAAAAGATGAATTAATATATTATTATTTTAAACATTACTTTAGTAATAGGATATTAAATCATGGGTAAGATAAAATAACCATTAAAAGAAGTATTCTTTCATAATATTTTGAAAAGTTTAATCATGAAATTAAAATATAAACAATTAAATTATACTATAGTATAGGGCTGGGAAACATTAAAAACCCAATATTAACAAAATATTGGTATTGGTTCAAAATATAATATTGGGTTTAAACAATATCTTCTATTTCTTGTTTTAGTATTGCTATTGGTTTAACTTCAAATTGTTAATAAATTTAAAAAATAAAAAGTGATTTTAAAAAACTTTGTTTAAATAAATATGTATTTTTAAATAAATATATATTATGAATAAAACTATGAAGTATTGTTTTAGAGAACTGAACCTAGATATTTTTCCTGATTCCTTTTAAAATAATTCTGAATAATGAAAAAGATAAGAAATTGAAAAATTATCTTTCGCAATAATAATTTCATTTTTCAATGTTTTCCTTGACAGTAAGCTTAGCTAGGGATTAAAAAATGCAATTAAATTTTTAAAAGATTTATCTTCAATTATTGAAAAGTTAAGTTATTTTTAATAAAAAATTCAGGAATTTATTTTAATTAAAAAATTATAGACTGTATATTCCTCAAAAATGAAAGATTATTGAACATTTGAATAGTAATAAAAAAAATTGAAGCCAATCATCTACATTAAAGATAAAAATAGCACAATCAGCTGTTGGTAAATTTATTTTAAATTTTGTAATTGAAGAATACAACAATTCTCAATTGTAGAAAGTAATGCATTTATTAATATTATCAAAAAATTGCAGCCAACTAAAAATATGATGTCTAAAATTACTCTCGTATTAAAAATTAACACATGATACCATGGCAAAGAAATTAGTGGATTTGTGTATCCCAAAATTGTCCATAGATAGTCTTATTAAGGAGAATTAAAAATTTGACGAATTTTGTGATAAATCTAAATTATAGAGATTTTCAGATAACGACAAGTCCTTCGTGGATGAATATTGTATGGTTAGTGCTAATTAAGAAATATGATATGTGTATATATGATTTTATAGGTTATGGATCCGATTGCTACGGTTTTTTCAATTTTAGAGAGGGGAGAAAAAATGCATTTGGGATATCTCACTCCCACCATAACTATTATAATACTAAAACTTAAAAAAATGGCTTTAAATTTACAAGTTTTGTAAGCCGCTTATTAATTCAATCCTGGAAGGCATTGATAAAATGTTTACAATTCAAATATTGCTTACAATTTATATTTTGATTATTATCTTCAATAGATTCAAACACATCTATAATGAATATATACTATCCGCAATAATTCATCCGATATTTAAATTGAATTGGCCCTGGCTAAAATTAGAGGTCAACAAAGGAAGAATGTTAGAACATATTTTCAGTTTGAGAAAATATCTTAATAAAGAAAGAGCAGACTTAATTCCTTTATCCAACACTCGCATCAGGATATTTTCTAATAAAGATAAAAAAAATTTGATGAGGAAATGAATGAAGATCCTAGGTAAATATGATCTATTAAGCTTTTTTCAAAATAAGGATAATTCTTTAAATATTTTTAATAAATTCCCCAAATTATTATTTAATTTATTAAATATAATACAACTTTCCCATCTGCGACAATTGAATATGTGTTTAACATGGCGAAAACTGTGTTGAACACTAAGCGCTCTTGTTTGTCTAATAAAAATTTTGAAAATCAATTGTTGCTTAAAATAAATTAAAAAATTGTTACAAAAAGATGTTATCTTATGAATAATATATATTTTTGTATAATTTTATTTATATTATATATTGTAAAAAATAAATATTTTTTTTGTATATAATATTTAATTTTTTAAATAACGATTAAGCCTTTTGAATAGTCAGTAACGCGCGTTCCTTTTTTCAGACGTAACGAGTAACGATAACGCATTTCTAACGTTTACAGCACTAATTTTAAGACTGTTGAAGTTAAAATTTTTATAGATAAGTTCAGCCAATGATTAGTCAGAATATTGTTTTCAATTGAATTTAGGTCTGAATTATTATTAAATATTTGAATTATATTATCTTATCTCTTTGGTAAATCTTGATATGGGACTTCTTCGTCTTCTGAAACCTTTAGGAATATGAAAAGAATGGGACTTCTTTGTTCTGAAACCTTTAGGAATATGAAAAGAGAACTAGGATTTTACTTATTTTGACATTTTTGCCCATTTTCATATCCATTATGATCAACATGAAATTGTTGAGAAATAAATTCAAAAATATTTCTAAATATCTATCAAGCGCATATTCCTGCCTATAGTTGTCTGAACTTCTTGACCATTTAGAAGAGAAACTCAATCATTCTTCAAACTTATTGGTCAGAGGAGAACAAAATCAAAAGCCACTAAGACCTTTTCAATTGAATAAAAAATAGTTTTGAAGCTATTAGTTATAATTTTAAATTATTTAAGGACTCCTAGCTATAGATTGTAGATGATTATCCGTTATTTTTAAATTTTATATAAATATTTTTAAAGCCTTTTTTAGTTATTTTGTATTAGAATTTTAAGTTGTTAAAAAATAATTCATTTTTTAAAAAAAATTAGATAATATAGGCGATTACAAAAATATTTACTAATCGATCGATATGGGCAAAACAATCTGGCATTGTGCATCTCTAATTTATTGGATATTGGTATAAAATTTTTAGTATATGTGTCAACACCTCGGTATTCCTTATGAATAGAGGGAGTACTGGTTTAAACCCTTAATAAAAGTTTTTATGGTTAATATCCTAATTTTAATAATATCATAGGTCGTTGTCAGGTGATGTTGCCTCGATATTTTATAAATAATATTATAATAAATATTGAAGTGGTTACTTGGTCAAAAATATCAGTCGTTCTATAAGGAAGTCCTCTCTCTGTGATAAAAAAGTTGAATGCCATACTATCGAAGAGCTTATTGATAAATTCATTTCCTATGAAATTCCGGAATTTCATAAACTTGAACTATATATTTTTTAAAAAAATTTTAAGTTAAAACGTTACACAATTCCAATAAGAAAAAACTAACTTTATTAAAAGTTATAAATGGATGAGGAACGATCCTACTAAGCATCAAACATGACCTATAGCCGTAAAATAATTGAGCGAAAAGTCTCAAGAATATAGCCCTTATTTCTTTATCCTAAGATATTTTTTTGTAAATATAAATTAATATATCATGCATAATTATATAAATATATTATAATAAATTTTTGCATGAATAAGCAATACAAAATAAAAGATCTACTTACTAATAGTGATGGAGGAGATGGGGAGGAGTATTCCTTTGGAAAAGCTTGATCGGCATATTCTAAACCTGGATTCATAATCTATTTAATTATTTTTTTTAAATAAAGATATAATATGAAAAAACGAATCAAATTTTAAATATATTTTTATTTAATAATAAATCCTAATATAATAAAAAATTAAGAATAAATTTATTATTATCTTAACAAGATTTTAATAGCTAAAAAATTAAAATACCAATGATAGTGAAGTGATAGCATTATGGTAAATAAATTTGGGCATGAATGATATAGTGACATTGTCAGGGATGATAACGTTACCAGCGTCCAAATCGCCAATTATTATGTCGAACTATATTGTTTATTATATATTTTTAAGAAATTTAATAAAATTATTCAAAAAATAAAATTGGCAATTTTTAAATCTAAAATTTGAGACATATGGAGATACATATTTATAGGACTAGTGCGGGTGTGGTGTACCCGAGCAGGTCTCTATTTTAAATAAAAAAGGTACGTCACACGTAAAAGGGAACATTTTATTACCATTTCGTTAGAGTCGTTTAAAAGTGAGGAGTGAACGCCAATCAAGAAAGGAGTAGGCGTACTAAGGACTTCGATTAAGGTAGCGGGTAATATCGGTATATAAACGTTGCTAAATAAAAAAAAATATTTAAAACTTTAATTATTGTAAATTTATTATTATGAATAAAAAAACGTTGCAGAAATATAATATATCTAATTTTATAAAATTTTACTCAAAAACTAGAAGAAATTATATAGCAGTAGCACATTCATGAAATCTTAAAAGGCCAATTTCCTTTATTAAGCAGTGACCAAAGAAATGTTTTGCTCAAATATAAAATATTTTTCGCATGAATTAAATTTTGAGCAAGCTTTTGCTCCTCGCTAGATACGCCCAAAATTAAAATAATAATTATTTTTCGGTTAAATTATGTCGATCCAAAAAAAGCAAATTAAAAAATGATAAAGGTCATTTATAAAAAAGATATACTTGTATTTTAAAGGAAAGAGAAGACAGCTTAATGCGTTGCAGGCATCGGTTAAACGCTGGTAGCTTATAGAATGCATAAGGATTTTATGATCGGTTAAGCACGCGTTTACCAACAGGATGGAGTTATAGATGCCTGAACATGATATTATGAAACAAAATTTGAGTCAAAAATTTAATTAAGAAGACACGAGTAAAAAATACCCCAATTTAATAAAGTGTTTAAAACTTTTTAAAAAACGAATTTAAATTGATGACTAGGGTTACTCTATTTTTAATATAAATAAGTAAATTGAAGCATTTCTTTATCATATATTTTTGCCCAATGTCACCTTTTCTCGGTGATATTTTTGTTAAAAAGAAATACAAATTAAAATCTCCTTTACATTGATTTATCTCCCCTACCTACTCCCATTTTATTCTGATAATGCTTCCCAACTTCCTATTCCCCCTTAAATTTCTTTGACGATCTTGTCCATATCCACTCTTCTTGGTATAGGTACCGGTGAGGATATGGAAATGATATAACCTATCAAATTTTTAATACCTTAAAAAAAATAAGTATAGTGATTTTACTATATTTAAAAACAATAGGACTTTTTAGTGTGTTTAAAAATTGTTTAAGGATAAACGGCGATGACTCACTGATATAAACATTCACGTTTTATTATTAAAAACTAACAATATTTTATATATCAAAAAAATATACACCTTATATCATTATAAATTTTATCTGTGTATCTTGTAAGAGTGTATCTAGATTTGAGGTCGTCGCCGCCCGGCAAGAACGGGTCTTGAAAATTTTTTTAAAGCTGACGATTAGGCAAATTTATGTGGTTTACTTTCATAAAAAATTGCTACGCTAAGTTGTACATTCCGGCCAGGCTGACCTCTAGTATAGATATATTTAAAGGTATCTTTAAATAACTCTGCCTACAAATCCGGCTCCATTTAATATCTGAACCTTATTTGGAAATCCGGCCTAAGCCGAAAAATAATATCATAGGAGCCTGACAAGATTATTTTTTTAAAAAAGCCTATTTATTTTCCATATGTATATATTTTAAAAGAAACCTAATTGTTTAAATAAGGTAGCGACGGCACAATGGCTTATAGGTAATGATGGAGACAATGCAGGTTGAATGATTTGCAAATCATTTTTTGTCAATGAAAAGGTTATTTGATTTCCACCTATATATTTTTTTTAAAATAATTTTATAGCAATTGTTATTTGTCTTTTTATTTATAGTGGGAAAATTTTATTAAAAAATTTAAATTATTTCCTTTTTTTGGTAAGATTTAAAACTTTGAAAGGCTAATTACACATTTGTGGTCTTCCTGTATTGTAAAAAATAGAACACAAGTCGAACTAATATTATAAACATTAGATTCTATCTGATATTCTCAATCAGTATATCTTTTATTTCAACTTTTAGATTCATTTATAAAATATTGAACGGAGGCTAATGAATTTATTTTGGAATGAAGGCTTAAAACTGTTATATTTATTTATTAAGGAATTTGCTTTATTATACTGTTTTTTACATATTTTATATGATTATTAGGTAATATGATAATTAAAATCCTTTTTTAAATGGATTTTACAAATACGTAACCCCAATCTGGTGCGATGGATATTGAATATGGAATGGATTATTGATTTCTAAGCGTAGATATAAGAACTATTATTGATAAGTGATGGTATTTGTATTTTGTATTGGTATTTTTATTTTAATTAATCCTAAGTTTTTCTAGGTTCTCACAATGCCAAATAAGAGTAAAATTAACATAGCCAACATAACCCTTCCTTAATTAAACCTTTTATTTAATAATGCATGGGCTTTTCCCCCTCTCTTCTTATTTCCCAGGGGGATTTAAATTTAAGTAAGTGGCTTTGCCTCTTGCGTGCAAAGATAACTGCAGCTTGCCCAAAAAATGTGGATGGCTTTTCTCTTATATTTTCCGTCTTTTTTATCCTAGTTTGATGGAATTTTTCAGGGAATCAAGCGTTAATCTGTTGAGCCTTATGTATATAACGCATATAGGACTAAATACTTAATATCATGTAAAATCGTTATTTTTTAAAAAATATAAATCGTTTATCAATCTGATTAGAGATACTAACATCTATAATCCTAGGTGATATATTTTTCTATTTATTCAGAATTATTCATGGCAGATTAAATCTCTTTTCATCGCCTATCATTATGTAAAACAAGATTGAAAACGCGGGTGGGTAATTGCATATTAAATTCCTTATAATAATTATTTAAAAAATCAACATATTTTTGCTTTTGGGCGATTTTCTAAAACCTTAGAGGCCCTTCCGAGCCGCGAGATCTTCTACACATATGTTAAACTACATTCTTGATCATAAAATACAATAAACAAATATTATTCCAAACTAAAACCAGAGAAATTATCAAAAATTGGATTAACTATTTCATTAAATTAAATGTATAGTTATAAATCTTGATAGTTTTTATTGATAGATATATGCTTATAAGTTATATTGGTGCATAAAGAAGATTAAAAAATAAATGGAGGTATAAGCAAAAAAAAATCACAAAATTACCCACATACCTTTTTAATCCTGTTTTACACATGATAGGTAGAATATATGTAAAGACATTGATAATACCATGAATAAGCAACGGACAATAACCGTAAATAAATAAAGAAATAGACTATTTTATAAGTTATTATCTTTAAATAGATGAATGGTTTAAAAAGTATAAAAATTTTGTCAACACTTATTTTAACCTAATAAATCATGTAAAATTATTTAACAAAGTCAATTTTCTAATATAATAAAGATTACAGCAATTCAAAATGAATTAGTTTCGGCTCAACATTTATAAAGAAATCGAAAATTGGAATACAAAATTTGATAATGCTTATATTATATTGCTTGAAAATATAGCATTCAATATTCATGGTTAAAATGTCATGGCTTCATTTTTAGTACCAGTGGTGTATGAACCTAAAGTATGTAATTTTTCAACGTAAAGATAATTTAAAATCCTCTTGGTAGTTTAATCTTAGGAGATTAAATAATTTTGATATGCATTGTGCTTATGATCTCCAAAAGACTACAATAAAATTTCGTAGCAATTTAGAAAAATCAAAAAATGATATTTTAAATTTTATTAATTAATATCTTTTGTAATAATAATGTAATCTAACTTTATATGATTTACAATAATTAAAATTTAATGCAAAAGGTTATATTTTTGCGTAAATTGGGTCATATTTGACTACTCTATATAAATATGTAAATTTTTAATTTGGGTAGGGTCTAGACCTGCCATATTCTACAAGTCAATTTGCGAGTCTAGTCTAAAATTAGTCTTTCGTTAACTAGGTGGGGTTTTATATGATCAAACATTCTTTAAAATTATTATAACATTAAAATTATTTTAATCCTGCATTATTCGTAGCTCATAATTTTATCTAAACAATATTCATGCAAAATTTAATACTTTTTGAGACATTATGGATTATTAAATTAAAAATTAAAATCCTATGATTTCAATAGGAATCAATATTTTGAACTAAAAGTAATTTTATTTAATAATAGGAATATATTCTGATATATTCGTGTTAAAATAATTTTTAATTTAGAAGACAAGTATTAATAAAATAACTGATTGTACTATTATTGAATAAAATTTTAAAATAATAATCATGTTAGATAAGACAAAATTTTATTTAATATATACAAAATATAAAATTTTATATCGAGATAAAGCATATTTAATTGTGTTTTCAAAAACCCCAAGAAAACACTTTTGAATTTTTCCTATTAATTAACGAAGAAGGGTTAAAAAGGTGGACTACGTGGGGAAAGCGTTATCACATTTTAGATAACACGTTTATATTAAATTTTTGTCTAATTACAAATTTATGTATCTTTACTTATATATAACTCTAATTAGGGATGTACCGATATTTTATATCAGATTGGGCCGATATTTCACCCATTTTTAAATATCGGTTATCGGCGAATATTATAGAATTTTCCGATTCGATCCGATATAAAATGGCGTCTTTAACAAAAATAAAATGTTATAAAATTTTAAAAAAAAGTTATATCTAAAATCATTTGTTTTTAATAAAATCGAAATCCATTTTATGTTTATTTTTTTAATAATAATAATTAATAAACATTCTGCCATATTTTTATTTTTTTTGGGGAATTCTATTTATAAAAGTGTGCGATAATCTCTTCAGAATCTGTTTTTAGTGAAGCTGGTGATATTGACAATTACCATCGCCGCAGGCTGACCTCTGATAAATTTGAAATTTTGGTATTTCTAAAAAGAAATCTTCAATATATTAATGTTAAATATTATTTTAAATATTTATTTCAAATTTCATAATATGTTTGTTTATTACTTATTAAGTATATAGATTTATATAAGTGATTTAACAATAAAAATATTTTATATACTTTTAGAATTGCAATTAAATTGAATATAAAATATAACTGATCATTATAATATATTTAAATGACATAAGTTATGTTATAGATAAATTATTGATGTTATACTAATAAAAAGTATATTAAAAATTAAAACCATTGGTATCTTTACAGAATACAAAATTAAATATGATATCGGATCGGTAATCGGCCGATATCAATTTAATATCGGGAAAATCGGATCGGCCTCCAAAAAGTGGTATCGGTACACCCCTAACTCTAATCATAAATTACAAATTGATTCCTTTATTTCACTATTAATCATATTTACGAGTCAAAATTTAAGAAACAAATTTCTATATATTTATACGATTAGTCTATTATATTTAACAGTGAATTTTTGGAAATTAATTTAACACTTCAAGAAATTATTAATTATTTATAATTTGTTTGCATTAATTAAACTTCTAACAAAAAATCCGTTTAATTTTTTTCCTTATTTAAGTAAATACAAATACAATTGAATCACATTTTTTTAAAACGATTTTATCTTCATGATCTAGTAATTAAGCCTAAAATGCGCTCTTGTGGCTTTTGAATGAGGAATTGGAAAACATGATCTAGTCGTTAATCTAAAAATGTGCTCTGGTGGCATTTGAACGAAGAATTGAAAATACAAAAATTACATCTTGTTAGGTATAAAGCTTTATATTATAATTTAAAAAATTTGTCCACATTAAATATATTGTATAATACTATTTTTTATATGCTTCAACTTAATATAGATAATATTACTTAATTAAAGATTCCACTTTATACAAAATCTATGTTAATATTGAACTGTTGCGATGTTAATCCAGGTGGGTGAATTTTCAAAAAATTGTATTAGAATATAAATATAAATGCATTTCGAGAGAAAAGTATTTTAAATAAAAATACTAATATAAATAATTTTGCAAAAATGTATATATTTTTGGAAATTAATTTTTGTCAGAAGCTTGACACTCATATTTTGACTAAGTTATAGGAAAATAAATGTTATAATGCATAATAAAAATACCAATAAGATAATAGTGAGAGCACCTATATATTGAAATAAAATAAGGGTTATAACAATGAGATAATAAGGATTCGAATTTATTATTAAATAACTGAATCTCATAATAAATTGAAACATTTTATTTATATTTAATTTATATTTCATTGAATACTTATTATGTCAGATTTCCCTTGCTACATCACTTGACAAATAGTTCATGAATAATATTTTTTGCCTTTTTTATAGTATCATTATGCAGCTTGTGGCAAAAATAGCCTACTGGCAAAATCAATTCATAATTTGTTGAGATTCAGTCATTATGTTAATTTTTACCAAAATGAACACTGACAAATTCTGCACAATAGACAACAATTTTAATTACTATATGTTCAACACTAATTAATATTTTTTATTAGAATATTTAAAGTTTCCAAATCAGAGTATAAAATTTGCAGCTAATTTTTTATAATGTATAAAAATAAAAAATATTTTATGAAATTTCATAATTTATAACAGTTAACGGTTGTAGGATTTTAACCATTTGGTGGGATATTTAGTCATGTTTTTCATGCTAGTCAAAAGTTCATTGGGACGGCGTAACCTACAGTGGAACGTATGGCAGGTCTCCTAGAAGTCCCAAATTTTTGTGGGAGGAACCCAAAAAAGTTGCTAGGCCACTAACTTAAGGTTATAAAGATTCAGTAAAGCTTAAAATTATACAGATTAGTTCAACCCCAAATATTATTAAATTAGATAAATACCTGTTTTAGGTATTTTGATTGTATTTAATAATTTGGCAACCAAGAATTCTAGATAATTTTCTCTTTGGCAGCTATGATTTTCTAGATGGACCATATATAAAATTCCCAGGCAATTCTTTACATATTTTTTTTAAATATATCATTTATAAACATTATATAAACTTATTTAACAATGGTTATAAAACAAGTTCTAAAACTAAATTAAGTTTTACTCTAAAAGTATCGAAAAAAGGCAAACGGGATACGATGACTAAGCATTTAGGAGCCAAATAGGATGGGCCAGTGAGATTCAATGAGGATTGAGTATTTAAGGCAATAGTGGAGATGGATAAATTTTTGTGTTGATGCGACAACGGGGATCTTCGATCCGGTGATCCATTCCTAAAAAATAAATATTAAATTAATCAACCGTTTTTAACTAAGATCAAATTCTGTTCTGATTATAAATATTAATTTCAAGATTCCCCGTATTTGATAGTTGATATTTATTAATTAAATTATACTAATTTTGACTTAGAATAATTATAAATTAATAATACTGAAGTGCTTCCATATTATCATCTTTAGGGAGGTTATAAGGTTCCAAGAAAGTAAGGCAAGCACAATAGTGTTTTTCAGCATCCATATCTGTCAAAACTGATACAAAAAATGTTGGAACATCCTTTTTGCCCAATTCGTGGGGTGTTAGGCTCCAACCTCTGGGTTGACAAAACTAATAAAAATTGAAAATAATAAATAAACATTATAAAAGTTAAAAGAGTGATAAGAACCTTAAATCTTATTATTTTTATCACCTATTGGACATATTTTGTAAATCTGAACAGAATCTATTTTAACACTATCGAACCCGAACTCAGCCTAAAAAAATTCAGTAAGTTTGGGTCGGATTATATTCAGTTATGAAATAAAATGCTATATAAAAAATATAGGCTACCAGCAAACTCTGATAAAATTATTCTATATCCATTTAAAACTTGAAAATATTTTTTAAACCAATAACAAAATGCTTTTAGGCAAGTTTGAAATATTTAAATATAGTTATATATATGTTGAGATTTAAATTCTCCTAATAGATAATCTCAAACTAAACTTGTTATTTATTATCGTGAATAGACTCCAGTTTATTCCTTAATTATGATCATTTAGTAATAGGGCTGTGAGAACTAAATTCAAATAATGTAGTGGCCGTTCTTTGACTATCTTTTATATATTGGCTTTGAATTATTTTTAAAAAAACTGTTTTGTTTTGATATTTTTTTGCTTTTAGATTTTTACATAGTATCATTATTTATATATCTTATGTTTCGAACAATAAATATATAAAATTATTAGAGTTATTTTGATTTTATTAATTTTTTGAAAATAATAACAATCCAAAGCAAAAATATTTTAAACATACTACAAAAGAACAGGATTCATAAACCTTTTAAGAAAAAAAATACTTGAACTTCCTATTACTTAGTATAGCCAGGTAAAGTTGTTTATATATATCAAAGACCTGCAGACCCGGGTACATGAGCAGAGCCAATTTAAAATTTTTAAATATATTCCGACCGGGTCTAAAAAATTTTTTAAAAATACCCGGGCCGGACCGGTGTAACGCGTGAAAGTGAAATCATGAGATTTTGATTTTTATGGCTTCAAATATATTGGAGATCATTTAAATTTACAAAATCTCACGAGATTTTTTTAAGATCTCACATTATGAATTTCAGAACGCTTAATAGCTTAAATTGTCTCAAATTTAAAACAGATTTGAAATAAATTATGATGTGCAATATAACCACAGAGATGATTAAAATGATAAATAATTACATTTTTGCATGAAATTTTTATAAAATATAAATTTAAAAAATTATGTATAAATAAATTTACATCAATAAAGTTCTTCGTCTATCTTCTTATTCTTTCATTGAATTTTTGTATAAGATGCCATATTATGAAGTTTATTTTAATATTGGTGACTAGTAAAAAAATAGAATAGAGATGAATTATCTTTAAAATATGTTTTTAAGCATTTGAATTGTTTCATATAATAATTTTTGTCGTAACCCAGAATTTCCGAAAAATAATATATTAATTCTTTTTGAATAATTCGTATTTATATATTCAAAAAAAAAATCCCCCAATTTTTAATAATTTTTCCGAAGGTAAACAAAATAAGCATTAATTAAATATAATTATATTTTAAGATTAGCCATTTAGGTAAAGATTTTTTCTTATTGTTTCTTTACAGTATACATGGAGAAGGGGGTGGGTTACTGATTTATAGAGGGTATGGTACAATTTAAAGAGGGTTTACTTCTAGTAAATTTTCTTAGAAACTATATCTATCGCATACTAATTTTTCTCAATAAATTAATGTCAATCGAGAAGATGTACCTTGTTAAGGAAATCTGAGGAGGAAATATTAAGACGCCAGGGTATAAATATGGGATCGGAGTCTTCTATTCTAGACTTACTTATTCAGCCCCGATTCTAGTTCCACCCATTTGGAGGTTGCAGGCAAAAATATAGGAAGGGACAGTTAAAAAAAAATTTTTAACATTATAGAACGAATTATTTGAACACAAAATTGAAATTAACAATAAGAGTAATATTAATATTTGCCAAGATAACACTCAATTGATTCCATTTTCTGAACCATATATACCCAGACACTTTTTGGTATAAAATATATAATACAAATGAGATATAAAATACAGACTAGAAATAAGCGGTATCGAGCTTTTAGATATAATAACTAGTTTAGTTTGGATAACTTAAAAAGCAAAACAATCTGATTTACAATTAAAATAAAAAAAAATTATATGGATGTACATGGATTCGAACCCAAATTTCAGGTTAGGTAAGGTAGACTGTCACCAATAAAGCAACCCATTACACTTATAAGGAGTAATTTTATTTGTTTATAATTATAAATAATCGTCTATTTAATTATATGCGATTTATATTAAAAAAAGTATATTATATCCTTTTTATTGCTTAATGATGTTTATTGATTTTATATCTCCCATTATTCGACCTAATAATCTAAAAATATAAAGATGAGCTCATGAAATGAAACAATATATCTCTTGCAAAGCATTATTAAAATATTATTCTTAGACATAGATTTTGATTTAACAGTTAGGTTTTATACCATTATTGTCTCTATATTATAATCTTAATAATTTAAAATTCATGTCATGAAAATTTTTACTCCAGATTTATCGCTTCAAAAACATTGGGGGCCATTCATATCAAAATCTCACAACCCATCCGTAGAATGTGTGATTTCGAAATCTCATAGATCACTTTCACATGTTACACTGTGCAAAAAAATTTTTTTATAAAAATAACTGGGTCGTGCCGGGAGGTATATTTTAAAACCAAATATCTTAAATCGCCATTAATAACTATAAAAATTAAAAATAATATATTTTTTAAAAAAATCTAAAAATATAAAACCCGGGCAGGGCCGAAATTTTTTTTAAAAAAAAATCCGGTGCAAATGATACCTATGCATGTCTCTGATATATATCTAAACCAACATATCCAGCGAAATAATCTTATCAATCAGTGGATTAATATTGATTGCCAAAACCTCATCTAAAGTCACAAATTTCAAAAAAATATAAGTAAATTTGATTCCTAATTATTAAAATATTCTTACCTTATATTTTTGTATTAAAATTTATAAATAAAATATTCTTAATCATGATTGATCCGTCACATCACAAGGGATGTAGTCGAGAGGCAAAAATTTGAGCATGCCTCAGAAATTTCAAAAAAGTTAGGGGGCATGGCATGCCCCTTCCAAAAAATTTTAATTTTTTATAATGGTAATTTAGTGTATTATTTTTTATCAAAAAATAAACTTAAAATATTTTATAAAGAAAATGTTGGTACATTATGTGATCGTGCATTTTTTAATTTAAAATTGGTTCTTAAAAAAGAATAGCCAATTTGTATTCGTTTGACTAGTCGTTTACTATCAGTTACCCCGCTTCCTCGCAAGGACTGAATATATCACTGAATAGTACAATTATGCAATTAATAACAATAATTTATAAGACGGTGGAATTTTTCTCCGAGGCTTCACATAGCAAAATCTTATTCCAAGAATTTAACATGTCTGCCTTTTATCGCATTCTTTCCGTGCCTTACAAAACCTAATCTATTTAGCAAAAAATAACTTACTCAACAATAGAGCTGTGCCGATCCACAAATTTTTCACTGATCCGATATTACTACAAAACCGATATTGATCTGATATTTGAACTGATTCTATTTATCACTATCTTTGAATCAATATTATAATAATTTTTTTAAACTAATTTCTAAGGATTATTAAGTGTATTTTGTTTTTTTATTATCAAAAAGTTAGTCATCTCATTTAAAATATGGGCAATGTGTATGGCCAAATAGTGTTACTAAACAACTCGATTTCGATTATTTTTAAATATGACTAGCAAAATTTTAAAATATTATTACCAAAACCATTGTCCAAACCTTTCTGCCAATGGACGAAATCTAAGCTTGGATAATTTACTTTTGGCTAAAATCTTAAGTTAGACCATTTCTAGACAGGTCGTTTTGCGATTATCTAAGCATGTTTCCAACTAATATTTTAATTATTTCCAAACAAATAATAATAATTTGTCGAATTAATTTTTTGCTTAATAAAATATTTGACCAAATCATACCTGCAGTCTCTCTCCGACACTATTTAATCAATAATATGACTTATATTGATGAAATAGTGGCAAATTTATAATATGAAAAAAATTAATTTAACCAAATTTTTTCTTTGTTTGGAAATAAATAAAAAAAATTGTTAGAAACATGATCGCTTTGAAAAAACAATGGCCTTTGATATTTTTAAAATCGGCTAAATCAAGCCGTTTAACAACACTAGCTAAATTTGAAAGTTAGATATTTTAAAATCCTTTTCTTGTTTTATATTATTTATGACGTTTTATAAAAAATATTTTATTTATAAGATCCTTTGGGGAAATAAATATTAATTCATATTTTGTAAAAATATTGTAATGGGGAAAAGGAAATGTAGAGAATAACTTTATAGAAGGGAATAAGTTACGCGGTTCAAGCTTTGATGGGGATAAAACTCTTGGGAAATATAGACTTATAAATTAGAATTTATAAAATAAGTTAAAAAACATAACATAAACTATATTATTAATTTTCATACAATATAAAATGAACTATTATGACATGAGCTTTTGAAATTATTATATTCTATTATAAAAATTATCAGGAAATAAAATTAGGATGGGATAGTAGCAAAATTAAACCGAACCTGATTTATTATTATTTACCGCGCCGTTAAAATTTGCCATCCTAACTTGAACTGAACTTCTTAAAATCTGCAAAACGGGTTGAACTTTTCGATATTCTAACTCTTAAAAATGATTAATAATAAATTTTGACTGATAAGTATCAGTAGATAGGTGCCAGCTACCCAAGTTAGCGTATAGAAGTGTTCTAAGCAGTAAGATTTATTCTCCCTCCTTATATAGATAATTTGACAATATAATATTGAAAATATTTCAATTGTGTACGATTCAATATTATTATATAGAGAATAGTATAAAATTTAAAAAAAATATGCTTTTCTACATAATTCTAATATGCTTGTATGAGAAAAGGTTTGAACCGGGGTTTAAAAGTTCAAACTGAACCGATATTATACAGAATTTGAACCACTAT